TGCATTGAAAGGATCGATGTGTGGAGTTCGCAAGGTTCGTTTGTTAAGTGAGCAAGGTCTTAGTATAATAAACTTGGTGCCCAAGGCTGTCAGTAACTGAATGCAGGAGTGAGATACACTGTGGAGTTTGAGTTGTAGCAGCAGTCTCTTAGAAGTTGTGACAAAAAACAAGACTAGGAATTTGTTTTTAACTGTGTTTTCCAAATGAAATCTTTATTAAACAAAACAACCTCCAGGACTGTTGTGCTTTATTTTCATTGTAAACTGCATTGACTCTAATGTCGAACGTTTCTGAGGCAATTTTTAAACAGTAAGGGTAGGACATGATGTCGTTCCCAAGGTGACAAATGCCTCTGAGCATGTGAGGAGTGCAACTGCAATGGTTTTCAGAGTCTCAAGCTGTCTCTTAAAAAGAACAAATGTGTCCTGATGTGGTAAGAATGTGAGGAGACTTCAGTTGATAAATCAGAACATTAATTCCTTGAACAAATGTTTACTATAAGAATGGGCATTTTTTGTGGATTTCTTTTTTTTGCTGTGATTTACTTAAACTTTCTTATCAAATTTTGTTACCAAATGTAACTTTTTATAGGTAATTAATTGCTTTAATTCTGTTGAATAGGTTGCACAATTGTGGCTTTCTGAAGTATTTATACAATAATTAGGGAAATGTACTGTACAATGCAGCAACAGAAATCGTATACTTTAACGTTGTTGTATGTCACTGTTTACAAATGACCACATATATGTAGAACATTGAAACTAGTAGCTGTTCATCAGATTTCAATTCATTAGACAGTCATCTAAAAATATAAATAGAAAAGGCACATGGAAAGAGCAGGAGAATGGTTCTAAACCAATAGCTTTAACAGAGAGTGAGCATTAGGCACAATGGGCAGAATATTTCTATGCCTTGCACGTATAGGTATTATCTTCCACCTTGCTGGCATTCATTTAGTCATAGAATCGTACAGCACAGAAGGAGGCCATTTGGCCTATCTTGACTTTGCCAGCAATTTGAAAGAGCTGCCAATTAGTCCCACTGCTCTCACCACATAGCCCCGCAAATTAGTCAAGCTGTGTCTCTCCTTGTGCAGGTTGCTCGAGTGAGTCAACATATATTAAACATGTTTACATGTTGTAAGAACTCAAGTGTTTGAGAGTTAACCAAAATTGACATTGTTTGGTGGGCGGGCATCTGTCATTAAAGTTCTGTACATGTCTCTCATTCATCAGGTCTCGGTATTTTGTTTCAGTGAAAGCAGCTTGCTTTTTGAACTTTGTCTTCTAGCGGCATTTGATATCTGTGTTTTCTTGCTTTGTTTCCTCTCTCGTCCCAAGTAGGATGATGATTTGGGTAAGCAGACCTTTTTTGTAATCTGTCTAATCCCTTGTGTTTGATACTGCGCGCTAGATTAGCAGAGAAAAGAACCTCTTAATTGTACTGTTCTGGGTGGATAAGGAAGGATCCATTTCTCCATGATGAGAGACAGTCTGCTATTCCACTATATGTACTACTTGGTTCCTTTCCTGAACGATATTCAAACATATTTTGAAAATTACACTTCTGTTGTAAGGTGTTGCAAATTGCATTTGTATGAAATAAACTGTTTATTTTCAAATTGCTGATCTGCATTCCACAGAGCTCTGTTCTAATGAAGGATTTTAGTCTTGGATTTACTGAATTTAAAAACTTGGTTTCCAGGTTCTATCTTCTCACTCACTAACCTTGGAAGTATAGCAAATGGTCCATTCAGTGTAGACCATGCTTGGGTGGGTAGGGTGGGTTGAGGAGAAGGGGAGAGGGAAGAGTTAAGTAGAATGTACTTAGTTGGCTCCAAGGTGTTGAGTTTGGCAACAGAATATCAGAATTAAATCAATCCTCCATGATAGTCTTGATTGTCTGACTCCTTAGCCGGGTGGGTTGAAGTGCTCCAAGGAATTACTATTGGCCAGTGTGGATGGTTGGCAGGACTTAGAGGGGCAGATTAGAGCAGATATTCTTCTCACTTGGCTCCTGTTAACCCTGCAAGCACAATCTAAACAGGTAACATGGACACAGCTGGACTAGTAGCAGGAAGTGATGGCAAGGTATAGAGTTGTAGTTGGTTAAACTCCAGTGGACGTTTCGCCCACAAATATACGGTCAATTCACTTTACAGTCTATTCTGTGAAGTGCTTTGAGACGTCGAGAAGACGTGCAAAGCGCTTTATCAAATGCAAGGATTATTATTATAGTAGTAAGTATCCCCAATGCAGAGTTTGAGGTCCAAGCTTTGGTTCTTGTCAACCAGCACCTAATACTTTCTCAAGGATTTGATAAGGCAAAGTGCATCTCTCCAGAGAGAGAATATGTATTCGACTGCAGACCAAGGAATCCTGCTTCTTAAGTATGTTTGGCTTACTCAGAGTTAACGTACAGGCAGCTAAATATAATACTGTACCTACTTTTATTAAACACAGCTTTCTAGATTGTGCAGTATCTAATAATCAGAACTTTCCACTTCACTGTTTTTTACTAGTGTGGCATAACTTGAGTGAACAAATAGAAATAATGAGGAATGATGTTATGCTTGTATTACACTGCATATTTGGTGTTCATTGAATGCTGCTTCTGTTGAAATAACACCAAATGTTGCAGCTTAAGTCTGGTTTAAAGCATGTTGATTCTATTTTGAGCTCTTCTTTATCCCCCCCTGAAATGGAAGTGATGTGATCACGTGCCTTATACATTGGGTTTGTATAGCAGCCTATTTCAAAATAATGTTTAAGTTTATTCTTAATATTAATAACCCTTCGATTGAAATATTGTATTTCCTTTCACTTTGGGAGAAGGTCTCAAAGTGCCTCAAAGGATTTGCTGTAAAGTGCAGTACGTGTGTATTTTGTAGATGAACATGGCTGCCAATTTGTGCCCAGCAATGTACCAAAAACAGCCACCATGTGAATGACCAATTTGATTGGGGGAACTGTCAGCCAGATCACCGGGAGAAACTCCCTTCTCTTTTCAACTAGTGCCATGGGGTCTTTAAAGTTCACCTGAACAGGTAGACAGGACCTCCGTTTAATGTCTCATCCAAGTGATGGCATCTCCAACAAGGCAGTGCATCCTGAACACTTGCTTGTGAACACTTGCTTGAAGACTTTCAGCGTAGACTATGTGAGTTCAAAATCCTGACATGGGGCTTGAACCCATAACCTTCTGATTCAACAACAGCAACAAAAATTACATTTGTATAGCGCCTTCACGTCTGGAGGACATCTCAAGGCGCTGGGCAGTCAGGGATTTGTCAGTCAGTCAGGGACCGAGTGCTACTAATTGAGCTGGACTGACACCTAAGAACATGCGTCAGCTTTTTAAGTATTATAATAATAATAACCGGTTTCCTGACGGTTGTTTTTACAAATAAATTACTGTTCAGTGTTGGTTAGTGGGAATCTACACATATACTTAGTAGTGCACGTGCAGAGTGTTCAACCCCTGGCAAGAGCAATTCATAGCAGGAAATATAAACTTTTCTTTCCTTTTCCTAAATACTCTACTGCTGGACGTGATGCCAAATGAATGCCGTAATATTTCTTTATTCTAAACGAGACATTAGATTGTCTGCCATTGCCTTCTTGTTTTGTTTAGAATGCTGAAGAGTGCCCGCAACCCACTTCTGATATTCTTTCTGAATTGATACACTCGATATATGTGAGAAATTCCTTATAATCCTCAACTTTGGGATTCTTTTCAGGGACTAAGATACAGTTCCAGAAGAATGCTCATCACCAAAGTGGTACAAGTTAGCCACAGATGAGTTCTGGGAGCTAGGAGAGTCTGGCAAGAGTGAGCATGAGTATATGGAATCTGGTTGGGAAAGAATATAAACGCAGTTCACTGACTGGTTGTTACACACACATTGATGTTTTAAATAACTTTTAAAGAAGTTGGAGGCAGCTCACTGGATCTTTTACATTTTGATGTAAACAACACCTGGTGAAAATATTGTAATTTGCATTATAAGGTTTTATGTCCCCGGTTACCAGAGCGCTGTGTACGAGTTTTGATATGATGCTTTTAAAATAATTGAAACAGTAAACAAAATGTTCCACCTCCATATAAAAGCGCAAACGACCCATTCTCTTCTCTTTAAGGTCCAAAGTGGGTGTAACACAAATAATTTATTTTGTGTTCCATTCTTGTTGAAAATGAGTTTCTGTTCTTGGCTGGATACAAAGGGAGTTTATTAGAAGGGTGCAATCCTTGTTTTGGATTTCTGCCCATGACCTTCTGCTGTTTGGTTTCCATAGTCCGAAAGGTTGTGGGAATAGGAAGTCACGTGGTATTCAAAGAATAAGGCAGTCTCGGAAAGCTCAGCATCCTGACTAATTTCCATTGTTAACTTATCTGTAGCATGTGATGAAAGATTATTTTTCTAAAAAAGATGGTAACTTAAGATTGAAGAGCTCCAAAAAAGACTGCTAGATAGAACATTTTTGGATTTGCTGTTGCTAACTGCTTGAAATTTGACAGCTGAGAAAGCAAAGCTGCTTTTGAAGGCCAAACTTTTAAAGGATCATGCTGATAAATAAACCAATTGTTAAACCTTCCACCTCACAATGTTTGCATGGCTCCTGTGTACTTCACCCGTATAATGGGCTGTGTGACCTGTGAGTTCAGCTTGTGAAACAAGACTTAACGATCAGTAACCTGTATTTATGTGTTTGGTTTCTCCTGACTGTTGAAATGAGTAATTGGACACTCCCTCTGGCAGGAAGGCTGGTTTTTATTTTCAAAAAGAGGTTCATTACCTGGATACTACTTTATAATGTATGCATTATGTCTTTACATTAAGGAATACGTGCAAATATGTTTTACAAAATTACATTTTTTTGACATACCATGCTTTTATATTTTTCTAAGTTTTTCTACAGTTCATTATGTTTTGTACGTTGTGCAAATGCACATTTTTTTTGGTTTGTGAAAGCCTTATTAGTACTCTTTCAAATTACAGTTCTGAGAGAAAAGAAACATGAATGGACACATCTCAACTTACCACCAGGGAGGATTCGAGTCATATTCCTCCCAGCTAATGTATGTTTGCCAAGATTTTAACTGATTAAGTTAGTGTTGATCTCATAAAACATGCCACACCTTGGTCTACTTTACTTTTAGTTTTAAAATTTGGAAGGGGTGGGGAAAAGTACACTTTTGAAAATTGCTTTCATTTTCTTTCCTATTGCCTAGTCCTAATGACCTCATGCTAATCTATGGCAAATGTAAGATTACACATTTTGGTAAGACGCAAGACACAGGAAACTGCTGAAACCCGTCACTCCTAAGGGAAAAGGGTGCAGTGAAGAATTATCTGGAGTGGCGAGTTAGGCATATGTATAAATACATAAATAAAAGCAACTGGGGTATTGACAGCATGATGACTTGAGTGGAAATAATGAGTTAACCCAGGGTCGAGTTATCAGGACTTTACTGTATTCTTTCTTTTTTCTCTCTTCTTCTCCCCCCCCCACCCCACCTCCCCCCACCCCCCCACACACACTTTCAAAATATTCAACAACACTGACCTTGAAGGGAAGTTAATCTTCAAAAACAAGTTAATCCCAGATCATTATTTTTTAACTTATTGCAAACAGCAATGTGCATGTGTGTATTTGTGTGAGTGAAGGTTAAACATCTCGCAGGTTGTCAAAGGTGCCTCAGTTCGTAGCATTCTTTTAAGTTGCAAGGTTGTAGGTTCGAGCTCCTCTTGGATAACCAACACAGTAGTGGAGGAGCACTACATTGTTGGAAGTGCCATCCTTCAGATGTGACGTTAAACCAATATTAACAATCCTTGCAATTATTATAGCACCTTATCACGTTGTTTAGACGTCTCAAGCCCTTCACAGGATGTACTGTAAAGTGAGTTGACTGTATATTTTGTGGGTGATATGCGGCAGTTAATTTCACACTGCAAAGTCCCACAAACAGTCGTGGATTCACTGACCCAATTTTTTTTGAAGGGATTATTACCCCTGGAAAGCAATCCGCCATTCAACTAATAACCAAGATACCCATAATGAACATCTGATAGTCTGAGGTGTCATTCCAGAAACTTCTTTGGATCAAGGAGTAATCTTAGATCTTCTCTTTGAAGATCCTCTTTTCCATGTTAAACATAGATTATATTTTGATAGAAAAGTGTAAGGTTGCTCTTCCAGGACTTTAAGGTTATAAGTATGACAGATGATTAGAAACCTATCTGCACCGTAGCTGTTTGAAACTTAAACTGATGACTCTAAATTGTACAAGTGTTATTAAAATGTCATGAATATCAGCAATGGGGATTTTTTTTTACATTCAAGTAAGATGTAAATAATGAAAGTACAATGTACAAGGGAGTTGCAGTGGAACACCATGATCACCATCAAGGACTTGCTTAAAATGCTAGTTTCTTCAATCTTGTTGCAACATGTCATAGACTTGTACTCTCCCCTTCTCAGAACAAGGAGATCATACAGTTATTTATAGATGATACTCCTGTTATGTTCTTTAAAATCCTCAAAAGTTAGGTTAGAGTATCATTTGATCTTTTTAATACTATTGTGCATACGCAGAATATCTTCACGTGCCTGTTCACAGTCCAGACTGACAACCCAATAAGTGATCACTGCCACTGTCAGAGATATTAACCCTTCAGATGAGATGTCTGTTTGCTCGTATGGGTGTTTGAGAACCCATACTTGAAAAGAGTAGGGATTTTCTCCTGGTGTCCTGGCCAAAAATGTTCCAGATAAAATTGGTTATTCAATTCATGGCTGCTTGTGGGACATTTTTGCCACATTATAGGCAGAATTTCAAACGCAAAGATGCTTATTTTTAATATTTGTATTAAATGGAGATGAGTCTGATGATTAAAATGACAAAAGTCCAAGTAGCCCTACCACTGAGCAACATATCATGAGTATGGTTCTGGAATTGTATTTGTTTGAACTGAATAAGTAGCTGAATAAGTCCTGCCTATAATGTGGCAAAGATCTCAAAGCCCTTCAGCTTCACAATTTTTTGTAAAGTGTAATGATAGGAGTATGATAATGACTGTATTTGTAGGAGAATGTGGCAGCTAATTTGTGCCAGACTCCGCCGCTGCCTCAGCCCTCAGGCTGCCGAAACCTCACCCCCGCATTCGTCACCTCAAGCCTTGATTACGGGAACTCCCTCCTCATCGGCCTTCCCTTCACAAGCTGCAGATCATCCCAAACTCTGCAGCTCGTGTACTCTCACGCACCAGGCTCCGTGACCCCATCACTCCCACCCTCGCCTGACTCCACTGGCTTCCCATACCCCAGAGGATTGAGTTCAAGGTCCACGTCCTCACCTTTAAGGCCATCCGTGGCCTTGCCCCCTCCTACCTCTCTGACCTGCTGACTCCCTACCAACCTGCCCACTCCCTCCGTTCATCAGGCTCCACTGCTCCATGTCTCCCGCCCGACCCCCTACCATGGGTGTCCAGGCTTTCAGCCTCTCTACCCCCACACTCAGGAACTCCATCCCATGGTCCCTTCACCTCGCTTCCTCCCTTACCTCCTTCAAGGCTGGTCTCAAGACCCTTCTCTTCGACCGTGCCTTTGGTCTCCCTCCCACCTCTTTGCCCTCCCTCACTCCTACAGCACCCCTCCCCTATGATCAGGCCCCGACATCTGACTGTTCAGCGCTTTGGAACGTCCTCCCGACGTGAAAGGCGCTCTATAAGTGTCATGTTGTTGTTGTTGAAGTATCAGGATGATATTCATTCATTCCACTAAAGCATGGACACCTTTGAGACCATTGCTGACAATTTCATCAACATAAATGTGTATGGGCACTTGGGCACTTCATGTGTTTAAGCAATAATTGGAGACCATCTTTCAAAAAGCCGCTGTTTGGTCTTTAATTTCTGTCTAGTTGGCATACATTTTCTATACTCAATGTATGTATGAAAAGCAAGAGAGGAAGATGATGAGATTCAATTCAAATGGTCAAAAATTGAATAGTCCTGTGTATTATACTTTTGGAATCAGGAATTGAGTAAACACTCCGGTTTCATTAAATACATTCCATGAATTTCCACTGATTTCAAATGCAGGAAATCGTAATGGTAATCAGAGGAAGGTTTTGCAAAAATGAATACTATCGTAATTCTAATTTTACAATTTAGTGAATGTTGAAACTTAGAAACCTTTTATATCTAAAGTTTTGTGCCACATTGAAGAAATTTGTTCAGTTTTTTTTTCTTGTTACGTTTGCAGTGGCTATGCTTCGCAAACATTGATACAGCCAGAGATGGACAATACTTCATCAAAGTCGAGTGGAAAAGCCCTGTATGGTGAGTTGAACTACGTCTTTGAGATGTTCAATCTATGTTCAAGGCTTTTGTTTGGAGTCCATTTCAGGTCGTCATTACTTTTGTGAGGGACGAAGATATTATTCTGTTGTCTAATTCTGCCTGGGGCTTTAATTTTAAACCTATGCCTTCTAGTTCTGCTCTCACAGAAAATTATACAAGATGAATCAAAGATCAAATGTGACAGGATTGGACTGTATCCTTACTCCAAATTCATGGCCAGGCACATAATAAATGGAAATAAAGCGTTTTTTAGGTGGTAGTGACAAGTGGAGCTCTACATCAGCATCATCCATGTCTCATCATTTTATTGACTTTATATAATTTTCTCTCTTCCACTATCTGTTATCTAATGAGAAAAGGTTCAGCCCAGTGAGTCTCTCAATTTAGAGTTCAAAGTCCTGGACCCTCCTTGTTCATTTCTGACTCCCAACACTTCAAATCTCTTTTAAAGGTAGGATGCACAATACTGCACATAATAAAATAAATCTGACCTCACTGGTGATCTATCCTACATCTCTCAAGTTGTAGGTAAATCTGTCAAGATACATACCACTATTTTGATTAGCTTTATTAACAGCAGCTTCGTGTTGATCGGGATCCATTCAATGAATGGTAAACTCATTCAGATTCCATTCTTTAAGCTTTCAGCCACATTGCACTGCTCTTTGGAACTCTTTCCTAAGTTTATCATTTCACAGCCATCGTTGCTTTCAAGTCCCTTCTAAAAATGTACTTATTTGCACCTATGTTTTTGACTGTATATTTAGTCACCTCCCATCCTCTTCTGATACATTTTCCTCTGAAAAATGCTGCACAAGTGCCAACTTGTTATATCTTAACCAAATTGTTATGCTTCACTGTATCTTTTTATTGTTGCATGACTGGATATCGTGTGAAAGGAGTATCAATACTGAAGCTATTCAGTCCATGAATTCACAATTGGTAATGTAAACAAATACTGTGGTTTTATAATCAATTTGATGCCTTGGGATTTGCATTGAGAATTCAACCTATTAATATGTGTATCACCACAAACTGAGCAAAATACTTATGTGCACTGTTTGTGTTTAAATTTAAATACTACAGTTTTGTTTTACCCAGAGTGTACCTGCACTTTCAATTTCTACATAAACCACCATGGAAATTTGTATTTGTATCCATGTTGTTAGTATTAATGCATTTTGCATTTGTTTCTTTCATTTAGGGTATTAGAAATCAGCTACCATTTTTCTAGGGGTGAAAATGGTGCATATTTTGAAAATTTGGAAAGGTTTGGGCATTTTTTAGAGAACCATTAAGGAGAGATTTGATTCAAGTCTTAAAATATGGCAATAATTATGCATATTTGAAAGGGAGACTGGTGAACATTCCCACATTGAAATTCATTTAACCAAATATTGCTGCAGTTGATTTTAGATTTTATAATGTGTGCAAATGCTGAATAATTTCTTAACACTAAATACTGAGCAATAAAGCCGTTTGCATAAAAGAGAATGTACTCTAGCTAACTTCTTCAAGCAGAAATTGTCCCTAGCCAGATGCATTTGAGTACTTAATTTGCTTCTTTGACAACTAGATAAAAAAGATTTTGCCAATAAAGACTCAAATCTTTTTCTGTCTATTTCAATGGACTGTGTGGTGCAGATGTTACATATTTCAACATGCATTACCATACATTTATCAACATTTAAATCCATCGGGTAAGCCCTAGTCCATCTGCTTAATATGTTGAAATCTCTCCGAATACCACCAATCTTCTTTCCACCCATCACCTGGTTACAAAGCTTAGTATCAGCAAATGTTATTATACTGTTAGCACTTTCCTCTCTTATAATTCATCAATATGGTAACAAGAGGCGACTTGGAACAGATGTCTGTAAGGGTTGTCATATTAATTTTCAGATTTTTAAAATAAATTTTTGGTATGTAAGCCTAATGTTACGTGAATTTTTATTATCTTTGTTTGCTCTGGTGCTTTCTATTCATGTTTTTTTGGTGTGATTAAGTAGTAACCATGTTTGTTGCTCCAGTTTTGATTGCTGTAAATTTTGGCAGATCAGTTGCTGGATACTTTATTTAAAACCTAATGAATATATGGTTAATCTGTTTGGAGTACTCATTTTGGCTAAGAATAAGTTTTGGGGATGAGGTTCTTCAACAGAAACCATGTTTGAAGGTCAACCCGTCCTTAAGCACTAAAAACCTAAGCGTGAGATCATCCCATTGCTTAATCATTGAACGCGTTCCATGTCCCTGAATTGGAGCATTTTTATTCCACTGCTCTTTATTTAGCTTATCTCTAGTTGTACAATAAAAAACAATTCCACATTAACTGGTTGGTTTCCAGGTTTTTTTCTTGGAAAAAGCGGGAAATACTTCAAGTCAAATGCAAGGATATATAAATATATACTTGAAATCTGATAGAAAAACCTACACGTGCACTTTTTTAGTGTCAAACTCATCTATTTAGGTGAATTACGTGCTTTAGGAGATGGAATTGCTGCTTATTTTACTCCCCCCACCCCGATTTAGCTATTTAGCTGCAGCTGTAACTTTTGTGGCAATGCTTTAAGCTAAACCTCTTGGGTTTTCACTCTTGAAAACTTCTCTGGGAAGAGCCAAGCCTCACCTCTTTTCCCTTCGACTGATAGACAGCCTGGCAGAGGTTGGGAGCTTGCCATGTAGTGAGGTATTGTGGTGAAGCTGCATGCTACCACTCATGGTACACCAGCACACTGCACTCTAGGCTTCTTATTACAAAACTGTTCATTTGGAGATTAGAACAGTAGTTTTTTGTAGTTCTGTTAAAGTATAGATATTGTACAGTATCACCTTGGCTACCAAGCCACATTTAGAGCTGGGTGTGGCTTTCAGTGACGTTGTTTATTATGATCTGACAATACCAATTAACTAGAAAAGCAATGAAATGAACAGTTAACCTAATGTATTTGCACTGTTTAATTTAAAAAGAAAAGGGAATGAATAGACTCGCAGCACCTTAAGTGATCCGAGTTGTGACTGATCTGCACTTGATCTCTGATACAAATGTTAATTACGCTGAACTGTTCAGTATTTTAGAGTTACATGACAGTAGATCTACACTGAAAGAACCGTGAACATATGTGCTGTGTTCCTTGTTGCATCCACAGCATGAGTTCTCAATATAGTCCTAGACATCTGCCGCTGAGTGAACTTGCAACTTTTCAACGAAGTATATTCATGGAAACACCACTGGTGCACATATTCACGAGTATTGTTTGTTCACAAAATATTAAATGTTTAAAATTTTGCGACACTATTAACAGCACCTGAAGATGTTTGTGGTAAACATTTGAACCCTCTGTCACGTGAGTCACAACGAGCTGCTGTGACTATGGTACAGATCCATCTGGAAGTTTATTTAATAAATAAGTGCCTTTTTCTTTTGCTTCATATATTTATTTAAAAGAAACTGCGGCATTTTATTATATTGCTTCATTAATGTTAAATGAGTTGCACGTTGGTGAACATAATTTGATTTACATCTGGACTTCTGGTGAGTACAATGTTTTGCTTTCCTTGTTTGTCCTAGGAGTCGATGGATTGTACTTCTTCCGTTCTTCAAAACATAAAACGAAAGGTAGATACAAACCAAATCTGGTTTGTATTGTTTCTTTAGTGTGAACCTCTGCACTATATATTGCACCAAATCCCACAATGTTCACTTACTGTGTTTTTAATTGTTTTCAACAGGAAGGTAACTATTATTCCAGTATGGTTAAAAGACTTGTTCATCAACAAATCATAGAATCATAGAATTATACAGCACAGAAGGAGGCCATTCGGCCCATCGTGTCTGTGCCAGCTCTTTGAAAAAAGCTTCCAAATCAATCCCACTCCCTCACTCTCTCCCCATAGCCCTGCAAACTTGTCCTCTCCAAATAATTATGTGTTAACTTAATTAACTTCTCCTTCTCTAGGAATATGGGTCACAAAAAATACCTTATAAGTGGAAGTTTTAACAGAATTAAGATGGACTCCATTGATGTAAATTGTATTGTCATTGCTGCAGACTTCAGTGGAACACAAGCTTTCTTTGACTTCATTACATTAACAGTGTGGAATCTTTGAGCTGAGGTTGGGCACCACTGGGTTCAGCCAAAGTGAGCAACTAAGGAGATTAATGGAATCAGAGCCAAAGGCACATATTCTACAGAGAGCGTAACTACAATAGTATCGTGGTAGAAAGGTGCGATTGCATATCGTTGGTGTACTTCTGAAAGCTTATTCTATGCTTATGATTTTTTAATGGACAGTATTTAGAGGACCACGGTTCGAACCTTGGAGTACACTGATGATATTGGGAATGGAAGAAAAAGCGGGTAGAAATAGACCTATGTGACATCAGTGTCAGATATCAATACTACTGATAAAAGGAGAGTGGAATGGTTAATGTGTCAATCGCAGCGAGCCACAGTCAAGCTGGGTGAAATTTATGACTGATCAAGCAATGTTTTAGACTGGGGTGGGTGGGAAACTGGACTAAAGGCACTCGGAACAGGAAGTTCAAAGACCTTGCCAAAGAAGGGAAGGTTAGAGTTGAGACTTTGTTTAATAGCTTTTGCTCATTATTCCAGTGTGTCTGCATATGTTAGTATTATAAGGAAGAGATGGCACATAATGATTATAATTTTTCAAAGCCAACAATACAAGTAATGAAACAGTCTGTAGATCTAAAGACCTTTGTAATATATTTCAGTGATGTAACTACCCTTTATTTTTGAACTATTCACATCTTGCTTTAATTATTAAGTGTTGTGAGTAACCCCACTGGGATGTAACAGTCTAGAAAGCTCTGTAGCGAGCATTACCATACTTGGGATTAGAGTAAATGGATTCTGTGGAAAAATTGGCATCATCATAGACTCGAGGGGCCAAATAGCTTCCTTCTGTGCTAGTTTCTATGATTCTGAGATTTCTAAAATTAAATGTTTCTCAAAAAATAAACAAAATCCTAACATTTTTTTGCATGATGTTTTACTACCCACTCTTGCCAGCAGTGATTCAATGCCAATCCTGTTTTATATAAAATTACTCAGAATTGTTTCTGAATAATGAAATGGCACCAAACTAGCTCTTGACTGCCCCTAGTGTACATGATGTACTTGAAATTGCTCAGTACAACCTGTAATGGTTTAATTTGTGTGTTTCTTGTTTGAGTAACATATTTTAGATGACGCATTTCTGTGATCCACCCAGAATTCCATTTCTTTTGAGAGTTTGGATTATGAACAAGTCCTTAAACATACTGTATTTGTTTAGTGGCTGCTTTTCTCATTCACCCAATGGTGTAAAATCTAGTCGTCTATGATAGAAATTTAGGAATTTAACATTTTGATTTAGTTTTACAGCCTCTTAGATCAATAAAGTAGTCTTATCCTAAATGTGTACCAGCCTTATTCACCATCTTTTACTCTTAATTGTAGATACCACAACAACAAACCTCTGTCATCTGCAGACTTCCACATGTATGCAGATGACACCTAAATCTAGTAGTCCTCCTCCAGCTGCGACCCGAGGTCTGCTGATGTTCTGTCAGCTTGCTTGTCAGGTATCACGGCCTAGATGAGTGACAACTTTCTACAGCTGAATGTTGACAAGATAGAATGAGTCACTATGTCCTAAATCTATGGAACACTCTTCCTCAATCCATCTCTCCGCCTTGCCTCCTCCTTCCCCGTCTTCAGATCACGCCTGAAGACCTTCCTTTCAACCCCTTCCCCCCGGCTTGGTGTCGAGCTCTGCCACTATTAAGCACTCAGACGTTATCCCACCAGAGGAAACTATATAAATGCAGTTTGTTCTTGTTGATATTTTAATTCCTTCCCAACTTTTATTTTTTAGTACCAACCTCTTGAAATGGAACGTTAATTACACGATTTTGTTTTCAGGGTTTAGAGAAAACAGATTCATATTGTCTTGCCTCATTTTATGAAGCGGGAATTTAAACATCAAAGCAATAAAGACCTGTGTAATATTGTCAATCATATATATTAATAATAATAATCCTTGCATTTGATATAGCTGCTTATCACGTCTTCAGGACGTCTCAAAGCGTTTCACAGAATATACTGCAAAGTGAATTGACTGAATATTTTGTGGGCGAAAGGTAGCAGTCAATTGTGCGCAGCAGTGTGGAGTCCTGTAGCTCAGTGGTTAGAGCACTCGCTTTGCAAGTGAGAGACCTGAGTTCAATTCCAGGCAGAGGGCGAAACCTTGGGCAAGTTTCCTTACTCCACACAGAGCCTAATAATAATCCCTCCAAACAAAAAACAATAATTAAAATGGTCATTTTCAATCTACGACTGTTTGTGGGACATTGCTGTGCGCAATTGGCTGCCGCGTTCGCCCACAAATATACAGTCAATTCACTTTACAGTGTGTTCTGTGAAGCGCTTTGGGACGTCCTCCCGACGTGAAAAGCGCTATATCAAATGCAAGGATTATTATTATAGTGTCCCACAAACAATCATGGATGTTGACTGATCATGACTTTAATTAAGAGCAGCAGTAACAGAGCACCAAATCTATGTGTTAACTAACTTACATTCTCCTGTTTTCCCTTACAAAAAAGGTTTTGTTGTTCTAGGCTGGGGATCATGTAATCTTCCCCCTGCCATGCCTTATTCATTTAGCAGGTGCAGTGTCAAAATTTCCTGAATCAGTATACTATCCTTCCAGAGAGGTCATGCAATGCAGGTGGAAAAGGTTTTTAAAGGGAGTACAATTGTATAACTTTGTCCTCAGTGATTCTCTGATGTTGTTGGCCACCTTTTTTAAAAAAAACATCATATCACCCAAGGCAGTCGTGGGTTTGACCACTGGTCTGTGATGGTATTTGAGTTGATATGAGCATTCCTAGGGGAGGGAGGAAAAACTAAGCATGGGTTTCTGTTCCAAGTCATTATCCAGTGAACCAGAGGTAAAGTGTTCATGTGAGCCATTTGGTAAAGATAGAATTGGATGGTGCACAGATAGAATCAGTCATTATGCTTGAAGTTGATTCCTTCCACAAAGATGGGAGGGAAAATGAGGGAAGAAACTCAATATTCGCTATGTGGGTTGTTCATTGATAGATCTGAAAAGTATAATTGCTTGCTAACGCAGGAAGAAAATTCATTCTAAACTCAGTTCCAAAATAGTTTCTAAATTTGTGGCTTGATGTACAGTTGAGGAAATTAACTATTGGTTCCAATACCCAATGCAGAACGTTGGTGAATTTGTTCTTTGACACTCTCCCACATTTCTGAGAATTGGATGGTGCTGTCAATTTAATACTTAAATTCCAGAAAGTTTTTCAGGATGTTGGTCACTCTTGGAGAGAGATAAGTGCTGGCTCAGGTAAATTAATGTCTCATACTTCATCGAAAACACTTAATTATTTTTTGCTACTGGACTCCATTGAACTGAATTTTAAGCATAATTAGGGATGGGGCACACATTGTGATATTATGAGAGTCCATAGGAAATGAGGGTTAAATGGAGAATGGATCTCATTGTGGTATCTAGAAATGCTCAGCTGTATGTGTTTGAAAAAACACCTCTGATGTATTGCATTTTATATTTTCACACATCATTGCTGGATGATTTCATGGATCTTGCCTGAACAGCATGCTTGACTATTATAGTTTGAAATATTGCATGTCAAAGAGTTTTATGTTTTCAGCACATAAATTTGAAATACCAGGTAGCAAATATAAGGCACTGTATTTGTGTATACGTATGTGATATATTAATTATATATATATATGTATAATATATAATTATATATAATATTATGACGGCTTCTGCCATCTGTTGAGAGTTATATGGAAATGCTTTCAAAAGTGTTTCCTCTCACTTTTGAAAGCAGAACTCCAATTTACTGTTTGTCTTTCAGATATTGATTGTTGCCTTTTTTTATTCTACAGAACAAAGGAAAAACTATGCAAAATCAAGTGTTATAATGCCTGAAACCTCACAGTATCGCGTTGAGGTAACTTGGGGTTTTGGATTTAATAACTTCAGTGATAATCGATCATCAATGTGAAGGGCATAATTTTAAGCCAATTGAGAAGCATACTGGTAAAGCCACTACTAGAATCAACTTTGGCAACCTGTTCGTTAATTTACATCAATCTATCTTAGACCTTGAACTACTTAGTTCTTCCCAATGCATTGTGTAAAATGTGATAATACAGAAACTGGCCCCTCGGCCCACAGGACACACTTTACACAAACCCGCCGCCCATCCTATTCTTATCTCCTAAACCCCTCTGTTCCCTTCTCCCTCATGCATCCATTAAAACCACAGCCTCCAGCTGAGTTCCACATTCTCATCACCCTCTGTGTGTCAAAGTTCTTCCTCAACTGTTAGATCTACCAACTCTCTATTAGAAAGAACTAATTTACATTTTATTAACTCATTTCTAAAACCGAGTATCTAATTTCTTGTTGAAAAATCTTGGTAGGATGACCTCTCAGATGCAGTTGTTTGACTCACCCAGTACGGATGATGTAGTTGTATTTAAAAAAGAAACAAACACTACTATCTGGGAATCCTATTGTAATTACATCCCTGTGAATCAGAGGTTATCGTGTTGCACAATCACAACCGAATATTGTCTAGGTGACAGCCGAATGGAGCAAAATAGATGTGTCAATTTATTTTCTGTTTGGAAATAGCACCTGACAACTTTTATCGTGGATCGTAAAGATGCTATGATAACCATAGATGATGGGATAAGAAAACTGAAACTGCTGGATGTGAAGGGCAAGGTCTGGACCCAGGACATGATCCTACAGGTGGATGAGAAAGCCGTCAGCTTGATTGATATGGAGACCAAGGTAAAACAACACTTAAAAAAAAGGAGCATTTTTTCACACAGTGCCGTATTTGAAAAATACCTTATTTNAAAAAAATCAACAATTTATTTACCACTGTATTATGAGTATGTTTAAAAAAAACTAAACTTGAAATTGAATTGCTTCCGTAAATGAAAGCGTGAATGCTGGAATAAAATAGCATCTGAGATGGCTTGAAAGGTTTTGGGTTCATTCTTTTTGAATTGTACACATTTGCAGCAGGTGTTTAATTATCACTTCCCCACCTCTTGCTCTTCAGTGGTGAAAGTACAGTTGTAGCATAGTTTATCAAATGCGTTATTACTGCGCAATCTGGGATGAATGGTGTTCTGTCACTTGCCTGATTTAACATGGTATACTTTTTGTTTTCACTGAAGATGTGTGACAAGAACTGTTGTTAAGGGGGAGTTTTGCGTTATAGTGCCCATCCCCCCCACCCAATTATAGCACTCCCTCATTTGAAGTGTTGGTGAACCTGAACCCACGCTAACCAGAAGCTTGATACATCCAACCCCTGAGGCTGACGGGCCAACTTCCCACACTAAATAAAGGCTGTCTTTAGGGTTGTCAGATATCTCTTCCTGACCACTATAGGTGGATATAATGTACAAGAAGCAGCACAACGTTTCTCGAATGAAATGACATTGAGCACAAGTAAATGAGTCATAGGAACCCTGGCAAAGAGGTTCAATCCCACATGCTGCCAAATTTCTGCTCCTGGATGCAGCGCTATGGGAAAAGTACGAGTGGTGTTGAGCTGTGTTCCATAGAGGAAGGAAAAGTCATTTATATGCCACTTTAGTGCAAACTCCAGATTTAATTCAGAATGGCATTGGCAAAAGCTTGATTGGTTAGCTTCTCTCTTGGCTGCAGAAACTAATGCAACACTGAGAACGCTGGTGGAGAAAAGTGGGAATAAAAGAGAGTGATTCACAATTAAAGGTCACTACTTCCAACACAAACATAACTTTGTTTAATGTACTTTCTCTGCAGAACGAATTGGAGCACTTTACCTTTAACACAATCCAGCATTGCCAGTCTGTGATGAATGCCTGTAACTATAACTCCATTCTGGCACTTGTTTGTAAGGAGCCGGGCCAAGGCAAACCTGACATTCACCTTTTCCAATGCGATGAAATTAAGGTGAGCAAATAATTTACTGTGTTGTGTCTACCTTTCAACACAGGTTCAATATATTTTAAAGCACTATGAATACATTCTTCCCATGTTTATTGCTGATTTTATAATCCAGAAATTATGACTGACTTCTTGCCAAATGTTTTTGGCTGCTTGCATACAACTACTGAGATTTTTGCCATCTCAATAGTTTCCTCTCCCTCCAGTGATTTAAAACCTCTTCAGTTGCACACTTTTACAAGGCCAAAGGGGTAGGAGATTATACATTTCGACCAAAGTATTATTTGATAAAAAAAAGTTTTGTATCTGTTAGAGCTAATCCAGGCAAAAGGGAATTGCCTAGTTCTGTATCTAACCATCATTCCCATCTAATAACTTGCTTACAGATACTTTACTCAAATCGCTTTGAAATATTTATTTTGCGTGAAAGGTGCTATGTAAATGCAAGTTGTATTGCATATAATATTTCAAATATCCAATCATTATAGTTCAGTAGCTTGTTATTCTTTTGCAGGCTGATTTGATCCATGCAGACATAGAAAGTGCAATTGCTGACAGCAAAACCGGCAAGCAGAAAAAAAGACCTGATACTCTGAGGTACAAAGACACATGGGACAGTGATCATTGCACTGAGCAATGTCCTTGTTTATTCACTCAATTTTTTTTGGTAGCTATCTTTCATGTTGGGTTAACCTGGAATATAAACAGAGTTCAGTGGATTTTAAAGCAATACGCACCATAACTTTTTATAAACACCAATTATCTATAATTTAAAGTGGGTACTGGATATTGTAAGTTTTTTTTACATCTGTGTCGAAAGGTAATTTTTTCCTTGTTTTATTCTGCAGTTCCAAATAATAAGAAAGTGTGTGAAAATGAATACCAAAACATATAACCTATGAGAATCTGTGCATAACTTGTACTTGTTTTTAATGGTTGTTGCTATTTACGTTTGCACATGAAACCTCCTCCTGACGCGAAAGGCACTATATCAAATGCATTTTGATTGTATGTTTGAAATGTATTTAATCATAAATTTGCACAAAAATTTTTGGACAATGTCTTTGAGCAACTGAACCCATCTACAGATATAGATGTGATGAAATAGTACACTTGGTGTACAGTATTTTTTTTTGAATTTGACTCTATTCTCTTTCCTTATGAATATGTAGAATGATCGCAAATGCAGATTCCTCCACCTCCATCCCTCCACCTCCGAATGCCCCAGCTCCCGTCCCTCCAGGAACAGTGACTCAAGTGGATGTTAGGAGCCGAGTTGCAGCTTGGTCAGCTTGGGCCTTACCTGTAGATCAAGGTGACTCGATGTTTCTGATGATGCAGTCTGCTTTATAGAACATTTATTTTTGAAGTAATTTTGTTGGGGTTATTTGGTATGTGAAATGGTGTGGCACAATGTGAAGAAATTGTAATTTGTATCAATTGTTCCCTTTGGAGAAACAAAACAATGGAAATATTTTGAAAGAAAATAAAATTCTTTTACACTGAAGGAAGAAAACACCTTAAATGAGTAATTTGAGATTTCAAATGCGTGTTTTTAAGGCGTGCAAGTAAATTCCATTTTAATTAAGTGTAATATCGGTTAGATTGCACTTAATTATTTTTCTGCTGTTATTATTCCTGTTTCCTGAAGGCAATAACTCACTACGGGATATAGTTGGTGGTGGTAGCACTCTGGTACCTGGGTCAAATGAACAATTATGCAGTTTACCATTAATCGTGTGCGAGTGAGGGCAGGTTAATCAGCAGTGAGACAATGTCCCTTTCCCGCTGAGCATAATTAAAGACTCACACCTGGCTCACTGAAATAGTTAACACACAGTTTAAACAAAACCTCCTCATTCTTTTCATTAAACTGTTAGGAAGCCTTTCCTAATAAGGTTATGTTCAAACATGTGTGCAGACAGTAATGCTGGTGATCTTCTCTATACATATAACAACAGCAGTAAGTAGCACCACAATGCATACATAGAAAATCATGGAAACTGGAAGCAGGTTATGGTATATAATTTGGTGAGGGCTGGTTGTGATATAACTGGAGGGGTGGGGAGAAGGGAATTTGCTCAGCCATCATTGTGGAAATTGGGTTATGGTTCTGTGATCTTTTCAACCATATCCTCAGATTAAAAAGATGCTGGTTATGATGAGTTCCATCACTCCTAACAGTGGTTTCTGAAATGTGCATGATGTGTATCTGTTAAAATGTCAATGTTTTCTCATCAGATGACAAACAGAGAGTCTTCCATGAACATGAGGAAACTCAAGATATGACAGCAGTCCGGATTGACCGCGATGTGGTATGACATAATCCATAAAACTCCGTGGTTGGTGCAAAATTTAATTGGCATTTCCAAACAACAAATATATTGCCTTGGGATTTTTTCTTATTGTGAGCTTCTGACTTAATGTTTGTTGCCCTGAAGAAGATGCTCAATATAATCAGCCTGGGGACTCCTTTCCTGATTATGGTTGCTGAATAATGAATCGAGCCAAGGAGCAATCCGTCCCACTTGCCTGCCTTCAAGGCAAGCCACTCAATCCCTTATTTCAGAAACCAATATAATTCTCTCTTGAACCCATCAATTCTATTTGCTTGAGTAGCCCTTCCACCAGTAACTGATTCCGCAAGTCTATTACCCTTTTCTAAGAAGAAACTGCTCATTGTGCATAGGCGGACCTAATCAGTCACAATTTCAGCTTTCTAACCAAATCATGTAAGCGGATAATTCATAACGGCCATGGATTTCTGCAAAGTAGAACTTCTTTTAAAACTACAAGTGATTTTAATATTAACTTCTGAAATATTGCCTAATGGAAACATTTTGAGTTAATGAGTTAGCTACCTACCTATCTGCCCGTACCCTCCGTTCCTCTGGCTCCGGTCTGCTCCACATCCCCCGCGCCAAACGCCCTACCATCGGTGGTCGGGCCTTCAGCCTCTCAGCCCCGAGGCTCTGGAACTCTATCCCCAGTGCCTTCGCCGCTTCCTCCCTTTCCTCCTTCAAGGCCGGTCTCAAGACCTTTCTCTTTGACCGTACCTTCAGCTCCCCTCTCGACTCTGTACCCCCTCCTCGCTCCCTCCCTTCCCTCCCCTCACCATTTCCCCCCAATGCTCGGGACCTGACCCAACTGTACAGCACCTTGGGACGTCCTCCTGATGTGAAAGGCGCTCAATAAATGGAATCTTGTTGTTGTTGTTGTTGTTGTTAGGTGTAATTATTGCAACCATTTTATGAATGTGACAGTTGGGGGGGAAACTGGACTAACACTTTCCAATTTGCATACTCTAAAGGTGTTTTGTTACATTAGCCTGATCCTCAAATGTAGTTGTTCCACAAAGACAAAAATTGAATTGAAACTATTTAAGCATTGAAGGTTCAGCCTTACTTTCTTATATGCTTATGAAGCTTTAGCATAAACATTAATAGGATTAACATTTTGGCAATCCAGAGAGGAATTCAGTACAGTTTGTTTATCATAAAGTTATATATTAATCTACCTTTTTCTAACTGGATTTTTAACTCTTCTATTTATAACAGCAAATTTTGAACCATGTTTTGGATGATATTGAAGCATTTGTGGTTAAACTGCAGAAGGCAGCTGAAGCATACACTGAACTTTCCAAACGGAAAAAATCGAAAAAAAGTAAAAAGAAAGGACCAGGAGGTAGGGTGTGTACGTCTCTGTGTCTGTGCATGTCTGTGTGTGTGTGTGTAATATATAGTGGGTCGACATGTACATAATGTTTGAATACTCCCTACCCCTAACATAAACATTTCCAGTATTGATAATAATTATATTTGTTTTACCTTCACTAGAGGGTGTTTTGACTCTCCGTGCAAAACCACCGATACAGGACGAATTTGTAGACTGTTTTCAGAAATTCAAGCATGCTTTTAACCTTCTGGTAAGTTGGAATGAGTTGCATTTCAAAATTTAAGTGGAACACAGCGGCAGTTTCTCTATTTTACTGCCATTACCACCTGATTGTAGTGAGATTAATCTGTGGCTATAAATTACAATATCCTCCCTCACTGCTCAGTGACCTGGAGCGAATGATTATGAATTGCTGCATTTCACTTCATACTTTCTGCAGTCCTCCCAATGTGAAAGGCACTATACAAATGTAATCTTGTTGTACAGTGCAGATTTTACTGATAATCAGATAACAGTCTGATTCTTGTGTGCAATAGATGTTAAACACTGAATGTTCTTTGGAACTTTGAAAACGTTTAAAGGTTGATATTCCAGTTATAAACTGTTTCGATTATTTGTCAGTTTAACTTGATACTGTTTTTTGTTATAGGCCAAACTAAAAGTACACATTCAGAATCCTAGCGCAGTAGACCTAGTACACTTCTTGTTCACACCTTTGAACATGGTAAGTTTACAAGCAACTTTACAAAATATAAAACTCACTTCAATCACTATTGCAGTGGTGGGCAGCATTTGGGGCCTCATGAAGTGCCCCCACTCACTCTCCCCCCGAACATACAAATGAGTCAAGGTAACCCATGTTCAATTGGTAGTGTTTTTTCTTGATTGATTTATGGCATAAGTAACGAAATATTCAATCAAGAAAATTTGTTTCATTGACTGATCATAAAGGTTGGTCGCCACTGCACTGTTGTATTTCACCTCAGCGATTGAAGTAAATTTTATACACACATTGATTTAAGCAGAAGTAACATTGAAATGAAGTAAATAAATATTTTGTGAAAACTGCAGATTGCTAAAATCTTTATTTTTGGGATACTTTTCTGCAGATATCATTAAATTTTCTAATTGTGTCACTGCTCTCCCTTCTGGATAAGACTGTTGTTCTCCAATGTCAGTGCTACTGGGTAACTTCAAATAGGATTGTCAATAAGATTGTTCGTGGAACCCAGTGCAGAAAAGGGACACAAGCTTAACTTTAATAAGTTTAAAGAGAACAAGTTCAAAATGGAACATTCTGTTCAGTCTTTAAACAATCATTATGGTTTGGTGGTAATTTTCAATGAATCCTACAACTTCAGGTTTTCGCTTAAAGGTGTACCTATGATTTAAGGTAACTAATGTGTTTAACCATAATGCAATGTGAGCCTTTGAATAATAGTGATACACTGTGTTTGATTTATGAACATTCATTAGATGTACAGCTGACACAAGATTATGTGCAGTTTATATTTCCGACTTTTTGACTTTGTGTTCTGTTGCAGGTTATACAAACAAGTGGTGGACCCGAAGTGGGTAGTTCTGTTCTCTCTCCACTCTTGACAAAAGATGCCATAGATTTTTTAAATGCATGCGTCCTATCTGAAGAAAGACAAGTTTGGTTTTCTTTAGGTGACACATGGACTAAACCAAGGCAAGTTCATTAGAATCCTCATTCGTCCATCTTGAGCATCTCCAACAATGCATCGCATCCCTAGCACTGCATTGGAGTGGGGCTTTGTCCCCTCAATTAATTTAACCTATCATTAGTTCCTAATTTGTTCCACTACAACTATAAACAAAAAATGAAAGTGTGTGTAAATCAGTAAAAATCTCTAAAGACTGCATTATGATTACTTTGCGAATGTTCTATGTTATGCTTTTCCTTGTAGATCAGAGTGGCCCAAAGATCAGTTTGTTCCACCCTACATGCCTCGCTTTAGAAATGGCTGGGAGCCTCCATTGTTATCTTTCCTGGGAACAGCACGTGAACAAGAGCTAAATAATTTAGCTGAGTCTGTGGCAAACGCAGAGCACCAACGCAGGCAAGAAGAACAGAGGAGATTGAGTGAAGAGGTATGTATTTGCATTGTATACCCTTACTCTGGAGCTTGATGGTGGCTTTTCAAAAACTATAATGAGTATTTCAATTGAATTTTTTGTTATGTGGTAATAGATTACCAGTGGCTGAGTGAATTAATGTAACATTGTTGGTGGTTTAACAATGAGTTTGAAAGAGAATCCTTGTCAAGAGATCGGTCCACAATTAGAAACGTATACTTAAGGGATGTCAGCCAGAACTCAGTTCTTGTAGCGAACCCTGCCTTTTCCTATCAGTGATTTGAACAGTAGGCAGTCTGGATTCAATAATTAACCCTTGAGTAGAAAGGTATTATTGGATTAAGCGGAGCATTGGGCTAAATCCTGAACAATCTGTTTGGGAAACTGGAAAGTATTACCCAACCGAAAATACTTTATTTAAATTAAAGAACATTTTGGTGCCAAATGAAGCAAGAATGTAAAAACATCAAGCTGATTACATTTTAAAAGACCAATCCATCATTTTATCACTAAAATTAATTTTCAGCAGAGTACTTACGAAATAATGTTTAGTAGTGACACTGTACATTTCTATTGCACTGCACTGTACTTGTAGGGTGAAGCCACAACACGTAAGATTCATTCCAGCTCTGTCACTGATTAACTAGCTGGTAATAGCGGCTAAGATGCCCTTGTACATCTGATATTTAATCCTTACTTAAAGGATTTTTTTTTAAAGCTGTGGCCAGTTCATCTCTGGTGCAAGGGAACTCGTGTGATTAGGTGAAATACTTGGGAACACATGCTTGAACACAAGTCTTTGTAATTATTGCCAAGAGTCCAGGTCTTCTATCACACAAGTACATTCTGAAGTACAATGAAACGTTTGAATCAATCACAGAAATGCATTCAATTTCCCAGGGCATTCATTGCAAATCCTGTGTTAAAGTTAAAGTACAACTCTTGATGATTATCTGCGACTGGAATTGCTATTTTCAGGCTTATCCCAGTGTTATGTTCCATTTTGTCTTTCAGCAAGCGATTTCACAGGAGTACTTTCCAGCTGACGGGTATGCATTCAACAAGTCAGTTTGCAAGGGACGATCTGCGCTGCAGCAAGGAACAGCTAAAGCTGGCTTTCAGAAAAGTAGTAGTCGACATGTAGATAGGTAACATTTGGTGGAATATACCCATGTTGCTGTGGAGAGCTGTCCTGACTTTGTTTAAACCATGTAGAAGTGAGGATTTCTTATCCTCCATTCCCCTTGTGATCATTCTCTTGAAAATATTTCAAACTACTAAATAAAATCTGATGATTCATTTATTTATTTTTTTAATTTAGAATATTATAACCTTGTGTTTGGATGCTTGTTGAAGTGGTGGTGATGTGGTTGTTAGCTGCACTGTAACAGTAATCTATAAATTTTTAATTGCCTGTAATCCTTTCAGCCTGCAACACTAACCTCTCTCTATTTGTTTTCCTATTGACGTGGCTAACAAATGAGATGCAATCTCTAAATAGGATTTGTTGCTTTATTTATGCTCAATATCTGCTCAAAAAGACTGACTAAACTAAGAAGACTAACTCTTTGATCGGAATGTGTCCCATTCCATCATATTTGAATGTAGCACGTAGTTAAGCGCTCTGAAATGCTATTCTGTGTGAGGGACGTTATATAACTGCAAGTAGTAGTTGTTAATATGTTGTGACTCAGAAGGTCATCGCATTCATAATATCTCCCTTCCCCTCCCTTTCTCACCCCCCCCCCCCCCCCCGCCGCCAAATATACATTTAGTACCATTCAGTGGTGTTCTGTGAATACTGAACTCAACCCTACCAATAAGTAATCTTGCCCCATCTTAATACACATTTTAATATGCTTTTAAACCAATTGCAAGTTTTCAGAAGACTCCAACTCACTTATGTCCCTCGGGGAATATTCAAGAAATGCCTTAGGTAAATTAAATTAGATTATATTGCAGTCTAAATGAATGTCTTAGAATTGCATTTATGACTCAATTTGCATTGCTATTGAAATTCCCCTACAACTTTGCATGAAGCATCTTACTAACTTTCTGGTGATCACAGATCAAGTTTTCATTTGGAGTGGTTTTCTGAATCAAACTGTTAGAATTTGAAATTTAAGATCTCTTGCCTTGTCCGTTTTCTCATTTGTATAAATTGTGCCTTTTTCAGTGCATCCCTGTATCCTATTGTTTCGATGTGCTGTAATTTCTGATGTGAACTATTCCTTCTCTCCACTGCTACATCAGAGTCTGATTACTCTGATTCTTTGTTTCTGTCTCAACAAAGTCAAAACCGCTTTCCACAGTACTTGATGATTTAAATAACTTATATAGTAGCAAAAATGTCAAATTTAACTTGGATATTTTTGGTTTTACAGTGGCTCTGAATGCTAACAAAAATCCTTTATAACAAGCTAAACAAGCACTTTGGAACAGCAGCAATGAGTTTACATTATGCAACCTGATGTTTTGTTTTGACGATCTGAATTTGTTTGGGTGTTGCATTGAATTTTAAAAAGTTAATTCACCCCAAACTTAATTTTAGTACTTGTTTTACTGTCTTGATTCTATAAGTTCTTTGAATATGTGAATTTATGTTCAGGAATTGGCCAGGTATTTGCTATTTAAAATATTTTAGGATCGTCACCATTCAGATTATGTTTAGGTAATGCATCACATAATATGTTCGGGCTGCTAGTTCTATGCAAATTACAATCCTGAGAAAAGGTAGACGGAGATATAATGAGGAAGTTTGAGAGTCAGAAAGAACAGTGTAAATTGTTCAAGGGAACTGTGTCTATAGAGAAAGAATTATAGGAAATATGGTGATGGATAAGGAAAGTTTATGAAGCTGTTGGACTCGTGCCTAACATCTCTTATTCCTAAAATTTCTTTGTTAGGACAGTAATTAAGGGCAGAGAAAGCAGCTGCTTAATACATCCTTGAAATATCTCTTGTTAGTGTCGTTTTATTTCTTTAATAATTTGTGATATTTTAAATTTATCTTTTAAGAAATTATGAAGCTTATGGTAAAGTGGATCCCCCGAGACTTGCCAAATCAAAATATGATTTTGTAGCAAGAAACAGCAATGAGCTATCCGTTATGAAAGATGACTTACTGGAGGTAAGACTATTCTTATGTACAATAACGCACAGCGTTTTATTTTGCCAATTTTTTGTTTTGTAACTGGACTTGTGTCCCTTGCACAATGTGTCATTGATGCTTGCACACTCCGTTTCACAGATTGCATCACCAATGCACTGGAAAATCTGTGTTGTATCTGAATGAATAGCCTGAAGGAAAATTCTACTTAGCTCTATTGATCGCTTCTTGCTTAGTGGTGTTAACGTGTGTTAAAATCCAACTTGTAGTCTACCATGTAACTGATGTGATTTTATGATTTGTTGCAGATTATTGACAATAAGAAACAATGGTGGAAAGTGAGAAACCAGAGTGGAATGTCTGGGTATGTGCCAAACAATATTCTGGATGAAGTGAAAGATCCTCATGAGTCTGGAGAAGGACGGTCTGAAGCTCTCTACAGTCAGACAATTCAGGTAAATGTTCTTCTGTGTGTGTGTTTCTCTCCTTAAAAAAACATTTCTGTATGTAATTAATTGCTTTAATTTTCTTATTCTGTCTCAGCAGCTACTAATGCCAAAGAAGGAATTTGAGTTGTTCAAGGTAGGGCCATTGTTTGCCCGAGAGAGTGAATTTGCCCCAAATCCAATCTATCCATCTCTTATCTGACCCTAAATTGCTTTTTCGTTAGGAGAGTTCTATAGAACTCTGCTATTTCTAGTTACTTTTCTTAACTTGTAGCCTTTGGCCTGATTTCTTTAACCTGTTATTATGTGTAGTTCCGATTTGCCCTATTTAATGTCGGTATCAAGTACCAAATACATCTTTTAAAAAAAGTTCACCGTGTATATTTTTAGAATAGCTATTGAAGTCATATGTTTATGTTAACTGGTTAGAGCTGTAGGGTATTGTATAATTGTTCACAAACCACATCCCTTTAGTGTTTTTTCAAATTTATTGTGATCTTTGGGACAAGATATTGACGTTCCAGATTTTAACAGTATATATTTTTAATGCTTTAAACCTGTAATTATTCATATCATTGCTTGAGAGCAAAGGAAGTTTCAACATTGGGGTAAAATTTAAGGGTTTTTCTTACACTAAAAGTTGATTCTGAGAGGTGCTTTATGTTAATAATAATAATCCCTGCATTTGATATAGCGCCTTATCACTTTGTTGCGAAGTCTCAAAGCGCTTCACAGAATATACTGTAAAGTGAATTGACTGTATATGTGTGGGCGAAACACGGCGGGCAATTGTGCACAGCAGTGTCCTACAAACAGTCGTGGATTGAGTGACTATATCGTGGAGTCCTGTAGTTCAGTGGGTAGAGCACTCGCTTTGCAAGCGAGAGACCTGAGTTCAATCCCAGGGAGGTCAGGGCGAAACCTTGGGCAAGTTTCCTTACTCCACACACCTAATAATAATCCCTCCAAAACCAAAAAAAACAATAATAAATTGGTCGTTTTCAATCCACGACTGTTTGTGGGACATTGCTGTGCGCAATTGGCTGCCGCGTTCGCCCACAAATATACAGTCAATTCACTTTACAGTGTGTTCTGTGAAGCGCTTTGGGATGTCCTCCCGACTTGAAAAGCGCTATATCAAATGCAAGGATTATTATTATTATTATTGTCAAAATAATAAGTAAAATAATCTTCAAAGCTAATGGAGGCTTTTGTTAAGACCAAGGCATGAGAGATGCTCTGTTTCTTAATGGATTCAAGGATAATTACCACTTTGAATCTGCAAGAAAATGTCATATATCAACTCCCAAATGTTGCACTAGAACAGTAGCACACATTGTTGTCCAGTATTTTTGAATCATTTGATTTTGGAATCTGTTAGCAATAGGTCCACATGGAATTCCTCACACACGTAAAGCAGGATTTGTGGGGTCTACACCACAAGAGGTATCTTTGCATTCGTCCTTTTGAGTTTAATTGTGGGGGTGAGACCTGGAGGCAGTTGGACCAGTCAAATCATGCAGTGTAAATGACACTATCTGGTGTGGTGGTGGGGGGATGGTGGCAGGAAGAAAACTAGATAGGATAAATTTTTACTTCTGCAGGAAGCCAGGCCAATGGTATTGATGTGTGACTGATGTCACCTGCACTCCTAGACTACTTTGTTTGAAACTTGTAGTGTGCCATATTATAATTTCTATTGCATTGAAAATGTATTGAATGATTGACCAAGATTTTTGATGTATGACAGTGTTTACATTGTTTGCAGTGATTTGCAGTGAATAGTTGAAGTGCATGATCTGGACCTTTATATACTGACTGAGTAAAATAGAATAGCACTAATGGTGGAGTTATGGATAGAGCTGCAGTTTATGCACTAGACAATCACTGGTTTGAATCCCAGTCAGTGGCATGCAGAGAGTTTACTCGTCTCATCTGGTGCTGTGTGGCTCCATCCTTCATAGCCAAATTCCACTTAGAATCATACATTGTTCAGTACAGAAGGAAGCCCATTGCATCTCTGCTGGTGATCGCTCTCCCACTGTGGCTGTCTACTCTCTCTCCACATATAATCACTTTTTCCACCTGTTATATTTTTCCTGGTTCCTACGTACCATCACCTCCAATGGATAGTTATTGGATCAAGTCCATGTAGAAATACTGTACATGATATTCTCTTCTAAATCCAGTGCTTTACTCAACTTTAACTTGACCTCTGTGGTATCCTAGAAACAGCAAGACCAACAAATTACATTTGTAAAGCTAAGTTTGAAGGTTTCCTGCTACCACATTGATACTGTTAGGTGCCACTAGATTAATTATATATTTCAAGTAATGTCTAAAGACAGATTTCAACTGTATCAATCAATAGATTTGTGCAATCTTGATTCAGGATATGAATATTTTGGCAGTGAAATAATTTAGCTCTCTCTCTAGGCCTACAAATACCCTTACTATCCAGACAACATTATAGGGTTCTTTATGCAACCCGTATCAATCTGTCTGAATTGATCATCTGCTTTCAACTCACCGTTGAAACTCAGCATGTTGTCTTACATTTCCTTGTCTGTTTTGTGTACCTTTTAGTGTTAAATAGTAGGCTTTTCAGCAAGCTAATTGATAGTTAATAGTTAGCAAACCTTTCTGTTGTGAGTTTCCCACCATTACTGATAACCAAGAGAACCATTGTGGTTTCTCAATGCTACAGATGTTGATGTGGTTATCAGGTTCTGTTCCACTTCATCCCTTTGTTTTATTTTTCTGGTTCTCATTTGCTTCAATCATTTGCTGACAGCAATTACTTGGAGAACTTTCAAAGGTAAATTGTGTGTTCTACCTGTGCTCGTAGGCGATGTGGCTTGGCTGGGATCTATTTTCTTAAAATATTACCATATGCTGTACAATTTCCTTCTTGCATTTTTTTAAAAATACAATTAAGTATGCAATGCATTCTATTCCTTTCTGTATGTGGATGAATCACTTAATCCGGACTGCAGGTGTGTTTATGTTTGGCATGGGTTAACTCACCACCTGTCTTTCGAGTTCTTTTTGCCTTGAAATTGCTTATAAAGCATGCATATTTTGGATTTAAGCTCTGTGCAACGATCAAAAAGAATTTAAGAACCATCATGAGCGTCTGCAGGCTATGATTCACGCCTAGTCCAGGGTGAACGGCACAACATCACATCAATAGAGAATGATATCTTAGTATTTAAGTTCTAACAGGTGCTTGCTGTTTGGTATCAGGGCATCCAAGAAAGAAGGAAATGAGGGAATACCATAAAAGCAAGAGTTTAATCTCAACAGAAAGAAACACAATTGCTGTACTCAATTTTGAGATGACCATGTCTATAAGCTAAGGCCTGATAACAATTTTTAAGTTGCAGTGGGGGAAAAAAACTACTAATCAAGATTTGATTTGACACTGCAATTGGGTTTTAATGTGTTTAGGAATTTTGATCTGGTATTGAAAAAAAACTTTATGCTTCTAGGGTGATAACCTGATTACTATGTGGCTGAACTCTTTATTCAGAGGATTTTTTTTAGTCTACGGTTAGAATTGCCTTCAATTTGGCTTTTGTTGTTTTTAAGGGTGAAATTTGATAGTCTACTCTCTTCTCTGATGTGCCACTAAGGATGCAAATTGTTCAATCTCGGTTCTGATTCCAGGGAGACCACTTGTCCCATCATTGCGATGACAATAATTGAGTTGAACTTTTTTTTAAGAGATTAGTCGATGTTGCATCCAAGTCGTCTGCTTATGAATTGGGCAAATACAAGAGGCATTTGCAATAATACCTGAGGCAAAGCGATATTAATGGAGTATCACTAGGGCTTTTACTCATATAGTTGGCCAAATTGTAACCTGAGTTTTAATGGCCAATATACAAATACATCAATTCTTGCCCTTTGGAAACTACATTTTTATTTTTATCAATGTCAACATTTTGCCCTTTCAGGTTATTTTAATTCTGGTTATGCCTTTTGTAGTACTTTTTGATAAATCACTAATATTTTTTTAAAAAAGTGTTTAAGACGAGGTATTTGTTTGTTGGTCAATATTTCGCAAATACATTTTTGACAAACATCTGTTTTGTCCACAGAAACAAAAGTTAGATTACGTTCCAAGATCTCTCAATCCAGTACCTCCTGCTCCTTCGCCTCCACCAACCCCAGCTCCAGCACATATGCCTGGCTCTGTTGCATCTCCATTTTTAGGTGGTGTAACTAAAGGATCTTCCAGAAATATCAGCCGGCAGAACAGCAGCAGCTCTGTTGAAAGTAATGGTCCGCTAAGGGATAGTCCGAAGGACAGACAGATCCCACTCAATCGTAAGTTGATTTTGTACCTGTATGCATTCATTCAAATTAGTAGTAGTAATAATAATAATTGTTTCATTTGGTATAATCATCTCATGTGGACAAGCCACTTGCAGCCTCAGATTGCAATATTCCTTTAAGATAACCGTAAAAAGCGAGAACTTTGCTTCTTAAATTTATTTTAATCTCCTCATCACATCAAAACTTCTTGAAACGATTCACGGTATTATCAAGTTTAGTGACTGAACTCAGCAGCCATTTGTGCCAGAAAGCTCCAACACAGCTGCGAGGTGAACGAAGGAGTGATTTGGAGGATTGTTGGCCAGGACACAGACTCATTTGTACTTGTACACTCTTTGCCCTGTAGGCAGGAAATCTCATATGGAAGAAGTACAGGATGAGCTGGTGCATAGACTTACAATTGGACGCAGTGCTGCGCAGAAGAAGTTCCAAGTGGTGCGGAGCAACAGTTCTACAGTTACTGTTTCCTACGAATCATCTCCAGAAGAAGTAACGGAATGGCTTCTGGCTAAGGGATTCAATGCTGTGTAAGTATACTTTCTGGTAAATTATACAAGAAAGACGTGATCCAAAAGGCTTTCATAATCAATATCTTTCTTGCAGCAAGGTGAAGATTTTAGCCTGGAGGATCAACTGCAAGAGTTATTATTGTTACCTGTATTAAACTAAATGAAATATCACAAAGCTTTTCAAAACTAGTTGTTCTAGCTTTCCCTGAGGCCTATTGGAATGGAAATAGCTTAGTAGGAAGTCAATACATTGTAGATAAAGAAAACTATTGCAGGTATTCTTCTGTGGCTTATTTTCAGCAGCTAGACTTTTTTCTTTCTGTCTTTTGAATCAGTCTGGAGCCTGGGAGGTAAAATACACTCCAATTGTGACAATCAACGTTTGTGATCAAGGGAATCCCTTGATCTGATTATAATATTATATTTGATATAGTGCCATTGGCAGGATGTTTCAAAGTGCTTCACAGGATTTATTGTAAAGTCTATTTTGGAGGTGAATGCAGCAGCCAATTTTGCACAAAACATTGACCAATAAACAGCCATGAAGTGAGTGACCAATTTTATCTGGAGAATTGTCAGCCACGACACCAGCAGAAACTCCCTTCTCTTTTCAAATAGTTCCGGCACATCTGCTTCATTATTAGATTACTGGAATGAAAGGGTTTCACTGAGTAAATGGGAAGATTTGTGAATCAATATTTTACAGTTACCTGGCACACAATCTACATTTTGTACTTAAATCCTTGAAGCTAAACTGAAATTCCCTTTTCAAGGATGTCAAGTGTACTTGTGCATGAGTGTACGTTTGCTGCATTACAGAAGGCCTGAGGCAATAGTACAGTCAAATGAGTCTCGTGTTCTGGTGCTTGTTGCCTAAGAATCGCTGCATGGCAGATCTCAACACCTTTACTTTCACTAGCATGCTTGCTATACAGAACAATTTCCTAATGTTCTGATTTCTCTCTCTTGCAGTACGGTGAACAGTCTGGGAGTACTCACAGGAGCACAGCTTTTCTCTCTAAACAAGGACGAGCTCAAGACCGTTTGCCCTGAAGATGGTGCTCGGGTTTATAGTCAGGTTACAGTACAGAAGGCTGCATTAGAGGTAATATTTTCTTCCTTCTTCAGACTAATGTAACATTAAGATTGCTGCTGGAGCATATTGTGATGGGGAAGTGCTAATTAATTTTAAATAAAAATAAAAATTCTGTCAGTTTTGCTAATTGTTTTACTGGTCACAACAGCTGGAATTATCAGAGTGAAGACATATGCACTCGTATGAAATTATAAAAGTTTTTAGGTGCAGTTCTACACAGGACTGACATTGCAATAAGAAACTTCAAAATGTATTTCATTTGGATAGCCAAGTCATCGACATACACTGGGGAGAATATTCACAAATGGGATTTGATGTACTTACTGCGACTTAAGTTTGTGAACATCAAAAGCTAATTTGAGATTTTTTTTGTGGAACACCTTATTGTGGAGTCCTGTAGCTCAGTGGTTAGAGCACTCACTTTGCAAGTGAGAGACCTGAGTTCAATTCCAGGCAGAGGGCGAAACCTTGGGCAAGTTTCCTTACTCCACACAGAGCCTAATAATAATCCCTCCAAAACCAAAAACAATAATAAATTGGTCATTTTCAATCTACGACTGTTTGTGGAACATTGCTGTGCGCAATTGGCTGCCGCGTTCGCCCACAAATATACAGTCAATTCACTTTACAGTGTGTTCTGTGAAGCGCTTTGGGACGTCCTTCCGACGTGAAAAGCGCTATATCAAATGAAAGAATTATTATTCTTATTATTATTATTGCAATTTACAAAAGTAGTGTGAAAAAGGTCTGCTGAGCAAAAGGCTCTATGAGATGATGGTAGGTAGGTATTCTCAAAGGATGGTATGAAATGACGTTAAGGAGCTTTGTCATCTATGCCTCTCTAGTTTTATTAAGAAAGATCAAACGATTATTTTCTATGCCCAGTCCACTATCTAGCATTAGCTAGATAGATAGCCACCACCAGATTCTACCTCAACTGTGTTGCATTTTCGAGGTCTATTATTCAATTTGGATGAAAGGTTTTGATTTCTGCTTTGGTTTCTATTGGTAAGAATGATTGCTGTGATTCATTGCCACTTTAATAGGAATTTTAACTCTTATAAATCACCTTGACCAAATTCTGTTTGAGGCTATATCCGTTTATTCCAAACCTGCAGGAATATGTGGGGTTTGCCATGTGGGGTTTGTCATTGAAGCAAATGTTTAAAAGTCCTGATTTAAAAAAACACAGAAATGTTACTGGTAGGATTGTATTATACAATGAACCTTCAATATGTGGTACTTCAAATTTGTGCATTCATATCCCTAACCTGGAGATGCCAACCCCAGTGATGTACAGGTTCCAGTTGTGCACTTCCTGGTAGCTAAGCGCTCAAGTGCTCTGGGGAGCTATCCTGGTGAGGGACACTATATAATATAACTATTATGTTGTTGTTGTTGCTAGTTTTGTTGTGGCATTCGCCAAGGCCTGAAAGCAGGTTAGCTGACTTCCTCTGCTGGAGGTGGAACATGGAAAGGAAGAATGAGACAGAGAGAACATTTTTCAAAAGGAGGCAGTTTTCCCTTATCACTCTGTTCCAACTGCCTCATCTACTGCCATACAAAAAATAGTTAATACAGGGTGATCAAAAAGTCATAATAATTACCCTATTATCCAAACAAAATCATTCCTGTAAGACTCATTAGACATTGTAATGGTATCAGGACTTTTTGGTCACCCTATACTTTTTATAAGTTGCCCTTTATAGGATTATTTTGTTTTGTCAAATATGCTTGTTGTATGAAATTAATAATATTTAAGACTTAAATCTGTTAGTAATTGTGCATGTAATGATGAACTGCTTAAAAACTCTCTGGTTTGGGCTGGGTTGTGTTGGCTTGCTTGTGGTTTCTTGCTGTTTTCCTACTTGCAGGTGCTTTGCTGACTCCATGGGTCCTGACTTTCACTTGCTATTCAAGTTTAAGTAACAGTAAGGTTACACCTAACTTTCTCTCTTAAATGACAACTTTGAGCGCCCTTTTGTAGGTCCAAGCAGGCTGGATTAAATGCCAAAAGTGCCAAATTTCAATTTGATTTTGAATTTTAATAAATGGTTTTGGTATGTTTAAAATGTATGTTGAGTTTGATATTTGATATTTCTCTTATATCGATATAATCTGTACATTGGATTCTGAAATGCAGCCTCGCTAAACCAACAAAAAGAAAAAAGATTAGCCTTTGAGTACTGCACTGGTTGTTCTGCACCAAAAGCAAACATTTACCACGATGTGTTAATCCTTGAATACTACAAAATGAATGATTTGGTGGTGCTATATTTCCTGAAACCATCATATGGCAAGTGGTTCCAGAAATTTACAGCAAGCAAACTTTTTAAGATTTTGTGATATAGAAATGATTTCTGAAATGTAATGGTATGTCAGTACTCAAAGGATTAATGACTGCCCCTCCACCACATGCATTTACCTCTTTCCCCTCACCATCACAGCCTACAAAACGTTCCCTTTGAAGAGCCGATTTTGCCTTGGGTGTTTTAGTTCTAATCTTGATCAAACAGCATTTGGCTTATCCTTCAAAGCAAAAATGTGTGTATTTTTCCTCCAAATATCAAGAGTTTTGATACATGTGACCTAAACCCAATTCATAACTCCGACTATTATGGAAGCCTTTGCTAGTCGAATATTGAATGAGCACAAAAAGGCCTCAAAGTAATTTTTTCTTCTGACTTATCAATTCTTAATTTTTTTTTAGCAAAATAATGTTGTTTGAGGAAAAATGCTGGGAAAGATAGTGATCCAAATAAAGAAAGTCAACTTGGTTATTTCTAAATCAGCATGTTCACTTTTTCATTGCTGCATTCCTCACGCAGCAGTATACTTATTAATGATGATGCACTCAAGGCAGAAATGTTGCTCTTGTTTAACACAGGAAATAGCAATACGATACTAACATCATAGGAAGATACTTGTAGGCACAATTAGATTATTTCTGTATATTGCATATTTTTTTAGATATAAGAAATTTGAACTAATTGCAAAAAAATAAACTGTCTAATGATCAATTTGTTGTATTGAGGATTAAATTTAGTTATAGTGTACTACAGGATTGTTCAAAGCAATTTTAAAACGAGTAATTGCAGGAATATTTATAGAATTCACATTTATTCTTTCAGGATTTTTCACTGAATCTCAAGTGCCAAGCACATAGTGCATGACACAGAAAATCATTTGAATTAAAAATTCTGTGAAGAGTAACATTCTTTGTAAGCTTTATTTTTCTTTGGTGTTATATAATGATTCGTGTGATATACAACTGGCAAATTTCTATAATTCCAGATTTTAGAAATGTATAAAATTTGCTGATAAAAAAAATTCTTTTGGAAGCATTTTGCACTTAAATCAAGCCTAATTTCAAAAGGAAGTTAAATGTGCTGAGCAAGGTTAGTACATTAAGGTTTGATGAATGACTTTGCCAACTAACTAGGTAGGGAGGTGTATGAGAGTAGTCATCTGGTTAAGGCTAGTTCCACTGGTCATTTGTTTCACAGATGCAATGAAATATTTTGAATCTTAGCAAAAATCTACACTGAATATTAATTCCTAAGTGATTTCAACCATTGTTCTGGTGGATAGTTTTTTAAGCTTCCGATTTTAAGAAAAGTAACCTGTATTTTTACGATAGGAAGCATTCAGCATTGGAGGTAAAATGTTCCTGCAATTGACTGTTTCATCCATTTATTCATTCTTATTAGAAATGGGTTTAGTTTATGGTGACTTAAGTTTTTCCATTCAATACAGCCATTTCAATTCAGATAAGCCTGTATCTGAATTGTTTCCTTGGACACTAAATGCTTAGAAATGTCAAGTATGTTTTGAGGTTTCACAAGCTATTCACCTAAAAGATCTTTTTAAATGCCTGCAGTCACCATAAGGCTGGAATCATTTTTCAGCCTTGAAATAATCAACGAGAGACTTGTAAGTAACGTTGTAGATGGAGAACCAAGCTGTTCAGTTCAGTCATACTTGTGCTAAATTGGCAACTGCTGTGGAAATTTCCTTTAAATTTGTTTCAGTGTTGAAGTGTGGAGAAAATTAATGCAAGGTTAAATACAGATATGTAAATACAGGTGTGGAATGTAAAACTTCCACTAAATAGAAATAACATTGAATAGAAACTATAACACAAGTGGAACAAATCCATTGACAAACTCAAGTCCATTTATGAAAGACTGAACATAACACGGTTCTCCCCATTTCTTTCCATCCTTCCCTTTCCTTCTCTCCCCCCCCCCACACACACAGAATGTGCACAATAGCACTGTTTGTCCAAGCTCATAGTTTGTTTTTGAATTAACTTCTTTCAGGATAAACGTGGGACTTCAGAGCTGGAAGAAATCATGAAGCGGAGACAAGAAAAACTGAATGCTGCTGGTTGTGACTCAGGAGTGGAATCTTTTGATGAAGGAAACAGTCATTAGTATAGTGTCATTACCTTGAACACTTCTTTTTTTGATTTAGGAAATCACTGAGGGATCACCTGACTTTTTACAGATTATGCGCAGAAGGCACAAAATGATGGACCAGTGAAGCGTACTTCAAAAAGGACAAGCTGTAATGAATACATTTTGCTAAGTTTTTATTACTGTGATCTAGTGCAGGATTCCATAAAAATCATTAAGTGACATCAATAAAATTCCATACATCTTTTGCAAGTAGTGTTGATTTATTTCTCTTTGAATATAATTTAAAATTGCTGCTTTGGTTTGTTGCATTGAGACTCAATGCAGTAAGCTGCCTTGTACTTTTCTGTAGCAGACTGAGAAAAGGGAGTAGGATTCAGTGTTATAAGTCAATATTGTGTATTAGATTAAATTCAGATCAGTTAAGATTATTCATTCATTGGTAATGAGGTACTAAAGGTGGAGCACTATTTTGTGGTTGGCATTTGAGTTGAGTGTAAATTGTCATGGTCTTAACGTAGAAGAAGAAAAAAAACATCAAATATAATTGACTTAACAAAAGCAGAATTTTCTCAACAAACTTGCATTACATTAAAAGGAAATTCCAGTTTTAAAACTTTTCAAAAATGTGTATTCAAAAGACTTCAGTTTGCTGCAGCTATTTTATTGGGCATGAAAACAGACTTGTTGGTTTAAAGATGTAACGTTGACTGAAACACTGATTGAAATGTACTTTCATATCTATGTTACATACACTGAAACACCAAATCATTTCACTACAGTTTCTAGTATACGTCACAGTTTGAACTTAAAATGTTAGAATTTTCTTATCTTGGTGTTATTTTATGAGAAAGTGCTTGACTGAAAAATAATGTTGTATATTTGAGAACTTAAATCCATTTAGAAGGATTTTGTATTGTATTTGTATAGTTTCATGGTGCCTTTTTCCATATAATTCTGCTGTAATTCTGAAATAAATAGTATTTACCACAATTTTGTGCTTGCTGGTTACAATGAATGACTTGTGCATTCTGAACTTCAAAACAACATTGACCCAATGGAATTGTTTCAGGTAAGAGTAACTGGGATGTTCGAGGACATTATAGGTCTTGTTAATGAATAACCTTGCAAATGTACAAATGTCAGACTGAAAATCTAATCTAATTGTAGCTTTTGATTCGAGTTACTGGTTTATAGAATGTGAGTCACTTTTGGACCTGTGTTCCCCTGAATCACAATCCTGGACTTCAAGTTGCCAATTGGAGTACCCACTCTGTTTCCTCATTAAAGCAATTAGACATTGCCAGAGTTTAGACCCCAATGCTTATAACTCCACCTTCCAATTGGGAATTCATGTCCCAGAAATATCTCGCAGCAACAGGGTGTTCATTTAATACCTGCTCAAGCATTATGCTCTTGCACCCTCCACGTAATCATACAATTGGATTCGGATTCAGTCTGACCACATCTTCTAAAACTACGTTATTCTAATCATTGATTTTACTGTTGCAGAATGCTTGCCTATTTTTCGTCCATTATACTGCAATATTTCTGGTACCTTTTGAATAAACGGGGAAAGAATGTCATTTCTGACGACTGTTCAGAAACTACTAAAAGTAACCTACAAATGTCTTCCCAGTCTTTGACCTTAAATTTTCCAAATTGTTTGATTCCATTATAATGTTGAGTTTGATTCAAAATGAATTAACTCCAGTGACACCATATCTGCCCCGAAATGAGTTGTTTTAAAACAGGACAGATTGTTAGATGTAGTACAATACAAAAAACTGGTAAATTTCAGAAAGAGACTTGGTGGATTTCCCAGGTGGGGGGGGGGGGGGGGGGGGGGTAATTACAAGAACAAAATGAAAGGAATCACAAGAGAATGCAAAGTAATCATTTATTTTCATTGAGAAATGTTTTCATCATGTTGATTCAATGTACTGGTACAGTAAGCTTGTCCAAAACTGAAAAATCTACACTACTGAGCAAACCACCAAAAATAACTTAGAAACCATATAGTACAAAGATTTTATGTACAAATGTGTTTCGCACTAAAGGTACAAAAGTCTACGAGTGACTAACAGCTGAACAAGTGGTGCACCTTCTTCTGAGACTGCATTTAAAACCAACCACACTTTACCCTGAAGAACTTTATAGGGCACTTGTAACTGTTCCTCCAATAACATTGGACAATGCAGGCATGTACACTAACAAATATTACCATATCAAACTCAAATTTTCACTGACTAATTCTCTGCGATTGCAAAGCATTCTACTTCATTATCACAACTTCCATGCACGAAACGATCAGGTTCATCTGGATATGGACTGGTGGGAATTCCCATCAGCCCACATATGGGTGAATCTTACCCTGTGGTGTGTGGAGGATGCGTTTTATTAGAAGAATCAAGACGCTACTGGTGTGTGTATAATCTTTGTACAACACAGTAATTCAATTGAGAGATGTTCAATAGATGGTCACAGAAGGCATGTCAACATTAGTGCCTGGGTCCATGGCTCCGGTGCATTCATAAACTGCTTATTAAAATTTGTTGCCGTCCCAGCTTTTTATGTGCATTCTTTTTAACCTGTTTTTAATACTGTTGAACACTGCCGTTTTTTTTTTCTCATCCCTTTTAGAATCGTCAGAGCTGAACATTTGCCAACAGTCCTACTTCTCAAACACGTTTGCATTCCATTTAGTCCCAAGAAAATTAAGTAGTCAAAAGGGCAATTTGAACGTCACCATCGTTTTATAAAAAAAAGCGTAACTGCAATATGAAACACTACACGAACGCTGACACATCAATGCATGACACAACAGCAATAAGAAGAAGGGCACATGTATTGAATACATCTCGGATTTTTAGTGCCAGACCAACCCTGGTATTCACTTTTTTTTATTGAACTAACAACGCTAACTTTATCATTGCAATAAATACAACTTGTTTTAAAAAAAGTAGTTATCTTTTCATCAAATCTTCAGGCAGTTCTTTTTAATGGTTTGTTTCTTTGAAGTTTTTTTCAATCTGTTCATGGAAAATCAAATCTCCGGTAAAACAGACCTTTTAACTAAAGTTTCGTTGTAAAACAATGTTAGCTGTTAAAACTGCTGTCGAATACATAAACTGTGGAATGCTGTATGGATTTTTCATTCTTTATTCCTCTTTCAGATGTCATTTGTTTCATTTGAATCCATCCAAATGTATTTGGTCCGACATTGAACTCTTATTGGTAGAAATGTTCCAAAGACACTACAGGTACTTTTAAGGCATTGTCCCAATGCTTTTGCCTTCTACATATATTGTTGTTTCATTTTCTGATGCTAGTGCTATTCCTCCATGGTCAGAACCAAGCCCTGGATACCTGAAGCATGGGAAAAGAAATGTGCTCTAGGGTTTTGAACCTGAAAATTAAGAGGAAAGAGCACTTACAGTTACAACAAGGATCTTGTGTACAAATATCACTGGGCAATGCAAATTTTGATGCAGTTTAGTACATTTTACTTTTTTCATGATTTTATATAACATTGTTTTTAACAAAATAAAATAGTCTACTTTTACTTGTATTTCCCTCTCCAGTTCTCCCCCTCCCCCTTCCTCTTAATAATAATAATAATCTTTGTATTTGATATAGCGCTTTTCACGTCGGGAGGACGTCCCAAAGCGCTTCACAGAACACACTGTAAAGTGAATTGACTGTATATTTGTGGGCGAACGCGGCAGCCAATTGCGCACAGCAATGTCCCACAAACAGTCATGGATTGAAAATGACCAATTTATTATTGTTTTTGTTTTTTTGGAGGGATTATTATTAGGCTCTGTGTGGAGTAAGGAAACTTGCCCAAGGTTTCGCCCTCTGCCTGGAATTGAACTCCGGTCTCTCACTTGCAAACCGAGTGCTCTAACCACTGAGCTACAGGACTCTTCGGTTCCAAAGACACCAGTAGTACATTGCCCAAACGGTTGAGACGAGGCAGGATATATCAACAAGATTACATTTGTATAGTGCCTTTCACGTCGGGAAGACGTCTCAAGGCTCTGAAATCATATATCAGCAGCGAATTCAACAGTGCTGTTTATTGGTAAGTCTTACCATCATTTCTAAAGACTCCCATCAATACATCTTTTCATAGAGACGGCCTTAACCTCCACAACTTAAAATGTGTAGGAGTTTGGGTATGAGGAGAGAAAGTAATACAGTAAGTGGAGGGGAAAAAACATGCAAATTCTCTTGGAAACAATTGTATAAATGATATCAGTTATTTCCATCTGCTCAGACACAACTGAGTAAGTCAGGGCCTAATAGCAGATGTTAGTTGTAATGAGGATCTTAACATCCAAGCTATACAAAGCTGCTTGGTATTTCTAATGCCACAGTAAATATGCAGCACAAAAATTAAGTATAAAGTTGTCATAATCTAAACGTAGCTCAACTCTGTCAACTTCAGACTACCAGAGATGCTGCACTGGGGTGAAAACTCCTCAACCCCTGTAATGTATAACAGCTCACAAGCAATATTCAGATCACCACTGGTGTGATGGCCATCAACCCAAGTTATTAACGTAACACTACCTCTGAAACTGCACAAAGTTTATACACAGAATGGGCAGTACAAAGAAATTCACATGGATTATGAATGGAGATTATTCTTCTCCCAGGAATTTGTTTTTCGACATATAATATTAACTTATACAACTCACCGCTGTGTTTCGTGTCATCCAACCCTCATAACTGAGATGGGCTGACATTCTCGTATATCACGTCACTGCTGTTATACTGTTGTCTTTTCTTTTTCCACATCAATTGCACACACCGATGGATGAAAATGTACTGCTCCTAGGAAACGTAGCAACAGAAGTAGGGGTAATGGACGGAAAATACCCAGTGTCAGTGTTCAGAAGAGCAAGACGGTAAATTATGAAAACTGATTACATTTGTTTCAAGAAAAAATGTGGCAGGAGAGATGTGCACTAACTAAAAATATCAGTCTTATTTGTGCCTCTGCTTTACAAGGAACATGTTATTTCAGCCAGTACAGTGTGAGGTTTAAGTATGTTAATTATGTGTAATATAATTAGTACATTTATTACTCAATGTTACTCTCGAGTTTCTGTTGGCTTTTTATTAATATCATTTTAAACAAGGATAGCAAAACATTAATGCATACAGTAAAAGGAAACTGCCAAACACTAATTATCAAACACACACACAACTATTGCTGCAATAATTAATCACTGTAAACACTGTACGCAATGGCAAAGTACAGTATTTAAAGCCAGGAAGCAAAGTTAAAAGAGAATGTACTTTATTGTAAAATTATACCACTCCCAAACTCAGGCAAGTAACATGAATATGGTAATGCCAAGTATAGCTTTTCAGTTAAACAGTTTATGTACAAAGCTCTGTCCTACCTCTGTCTGAACCATTGATGTCCTGTACATGCGCATTTCAGAGACCAAGCCCAGAATATCTACATACTCGTGCTCATGGATGTGCTGCATGAGACGGTCGAGGGCTATCAGAGTTCCTGTTCTGCCCACACCAGCACTAAAACACAAGTTGAAAGGACATTATTAGTGAACACATCAGCGTCTTACAGAAAGAAGTCCTCTAATACTGGTGAGAACAACAAATGGTGAACTATTAGAACACATTTTATGTCAAGGTTAGAATTACAGTAAATAACGTTCTCTTAAGATTCCAAGATGTTCTTGAATTGTACTTTAATAACAATAATAATCCTTGTATTTTCCATAGCTTTATGTCAATAAACATCTAAATTGCTTCACAGGATTTACTGTAGACAACAAAATTACATTTGTACAGCACCTTTCAGGTCGGGAGGATGGCCCAAGGTGCTGGACAGTCTGTTTCAGACCCAAGCTGAGGGTCGGGATTGGGGAGGGTGGAGGGCAGGGGTGGAAGGAGGGTGATCGAAAGCACGTGCATTATTGGCACGAGCTTTAGAGTGCAATGACTGTATTTTGTAGGGAAATGTGGCAACCAATTTGCCTCACCAATGTCCCACAAACATCCATAAAGTGAGTGATCGAATTTAACGGGAAGATTGTTGGTCAGGGCTTGAGGAAAAAGCCCTCTCTTGAAAGAGTGTCATGGTACCTTTAGCTTCTACTGACAGGACCTCAGGTTAATACCTCATCCTAAAGATGGCAACTCTGACAATGCAGCACGTACGCCCGATCTAGAGTCAAATGGACTTGAGTTCAATGTCCTGACGTGGTCTTGAACCCAGAACCTAACTCAGAGACAAGAGTGCTCCCAACTGAAGCAGGCTGACACCTAACACTGCAGTGACGGACGGTAAACTGACCCGGATTGTGTGAGTTGGGGCAAATAAAAAAAATATTCACTGTTGCAAGCTATAAATACATAGTTGATGCTGACGACAGTGGCACTAGCAGGGGAAAATGTTCAAATAAATCTTAGCCACAAGCAGAGTTCCACACCAATACACTCAATGTCACAAGATGTAAAGCTCAAGTGTTACATTAATAACTAACGGATGCGCATGAATTGGATTGCATTGTTTAATAATAATAATAATAATAATCCTTGCATTTGATATAGCGCTTTTCACGTTGGGAGGACATCCCAAAGCGCTTCACAGAACACACTGTAAAGTGAATTGACTGTATATTTGTGGGCGAACGCGGCAGCCAATTGCGCACAGCAATGTCCCACAAACAGTCGTAGATTGAAAATGACCAATTTATTATTGTTATTTTTGGTTTTTTGGAGGGATTATTATTAGGCTCTGTGTGGAGTAAGGAAACTTGCCCGAGGTTTCGCCCTCTGCCTGGAATTGAACTCAGGTCTCTCGCTTGCAAAGCGAGTGCTCTAACCACTGAGCTACAGGACTCAGTTTGAAAGCTACAGTTTGATTAAAGTAGCAAATCGTTAAGCGTTCACTCACCTACAGTGCACGATTATAGATCCTGGCCTTTTCACTGTTTGCTGCCTGATCATCTGCACAAACTGTAGGATGTTCTCTGCTGTGTCGGCATTTGGAACCCCATGGTCAGGCCAGGCCATGTAATTGTAGTGAATCACTCTCTGAACAGCATCAGCCTGAGGGAAAAAACATTAGACCAAAACTGCGTAAAAACTTACTTAGGATCCAATTTACAAGATTGGGGCTCGACAAACGGTTTGATACAGCATCTTATCGCATCGTTGAGAAGTTTCAAAGCGCTTCATGGAATATACTTTAAAATGAACCAACTCAACCAGGGTTTCTGCTCCTATTAGAATCCAGAAACTCTTGCTGTCCGGTGCATATGTGTGGATGTTATGTGGGAACAGCGTTAGTCTCAGATCTGATACCCTCTGGGTTTGAGCATTCACTTTCAAGGCTCAATTGTGAGGAATGGCCATTTGAACGAGGTACAAGAGGGTGACTGGTGCTCATGGAATCGCACCCCAGCGGACAGAGAAACGCGTCAAGATGCCTTGAAAGCAAAGGAACGGAGGGGAAATATTGGAGATGAAAAAATTGTGAGGGAAAGTAGAACCATTTCTGTTTTTGCCAGGGTGCAGCATTAAGTGAAAGCCTCAAGTGGTCATAGGACATTGCAGTATGTAGTATCCACTGATGACCACGAGATGGCACATCGATATCTCAGAATGACTTCCAGCACCGACACTCAGTGAGAAAAGGGTTTCTCAGTGTGAGACCGACCTCCCAGGGATTGCTCACTCTGGACATCATTAACTTAGAAAATATATTCAACGGAAAAGAAATCTTAAAAAAAAGCTGCCTCGCTTGTTGCTGTAACCGCTGCATCATATTTTGTTAGAAATGATTGAACATTCATCGTATTAATCATTTGTGCCTTTACACCATCTTTTGTTGATAGAGTGTTCCACTGAAAAAATTTCTTTAGTATTTGCCTTTGTGTATGTCCTGTTTAAACTGTACTAACTAAATAAATTCCCCAAACCAGCGGGATCAACTATGAGGTGCGCAAAGGGACCAATGGAAGAAAAGACATTAGGCTATAGAATATGTTTAAAACATTCTTAATTAAAATGTGATGCAACCACTCACCCTATCCCCTGCATCGTACCTCAATTATCTTGCAATGACATGTAAGGTTAATTCTAAAGATCTAAATGATCAAATAATTCGTTGTCATTTGTTTTGCTCCTCCCAACCACATTGACAGAAAGCCTGACATTGAACAGCTTACATGCAGGATGTGTCCCTCCAGGGAGAGAGAGCGCATTCCATTCCAACAATCATCTGGGATTTCCATGTGTCGGTGGGATGCATGGAAATCTCAGCTCGGTTTGGATACTCTTAAGCAACGGTGATGGGTTTCCGCACGTGTCAGACACCCGGCTGAGCAAAAAACAAACCAACAGCTTACGTAGCTGACATTGAATTCCCTGATGATCCACTCTGGCTGTTCTGACTGCTCTGAATCCTCTGACTGATCAGGCAGCTCTGACTCAAAGACCATTTCAACCGTGATGTCTCCGTAACAGACGGGCTCTTTATTAAAAGGCCAATAATGGTCACATTTTACCTGAAAAATAATTCACAAAAAATGAGTACAGTAGCAATCACTGTGTCCTTTATATTATATATAAATAGGTATTTATGTTTATGACTTTTTACTTTCCTGGTCCACCAACATCAGACCCTGATAGATGATAAGTCTGCAATTTAACCATATAACTTGAGCATTAATATTGTACCATATGATTTGTAGATACTCCTTGTGAAAGCATTGCTGCCAATCAGCTTAGAAATGATGTTTATCACCTTATAAACCACTGGACCTTCATTTTATTTCCCTGGACTGCTATCTACAGGGCAGGTAAGCAGTGCTGCCAACAATATGTTATATCAGTTAGCAGACCCTACCCCCAAAAAGGAAATACTGTATAAACACAAACAACAACAACGTGCATTTCACGTGGGCTAACATCTTGGAATGCTTAAATATGCCAACACACAGCACATGCAACCAGCATCGTCAAGACGCATCATTGGAACAGCTATAACAGCCAGAATAATAATAATAATAATCCTTGCATTTGATATAGCGCCTTATCTATCTATATATATATATATATATGGAGTCCTGTAGCTCAGTGGTTAGAGCACTCGCTTTGCAAGCGAGAGACCTGGGTTTGATTCCCGGCAGAGTGAAACCTTGGGCAAGGGCAACCTCCACACGCCTGATAATAATCCCTCCAAACTAAAACAATAATAAATTGGTCATTTCAATCCACGGCTGCTTGTGGGACGCTGCTGTGCACAATTGGTTGCCGCATTTTGCCCACAAATATACAGTCAATTCACTTTACAGTCTATTCTGTGAAGCGCTTTGGGACGTCCTCCCGACGTGAAAAGCGCTATACCAAATATAAGTATTATTATTATTATTATTATCGACGCGTCTCAAAGCGCTTCACAGGATACACTGCAAAGTGATTCGACTATATTTTGTGGACCAGACAAGGCAACCAATTGCGCACAGCAGTAATAATAAAGCTGAGATCAGCCTCCTGTGCACCTATATGCACAGTAGGCACCTGCATGAAGCAATCTGTATGCACAGCAATGCATTGATCACTTACCCTGCGCCGCTCATTACATTGGGTCAGCATTACAATGATGTGCGATTTCTGCTGCAGAACCATTCTCCAGAAATCCCTCCTCGTCTCTGCCAGAGGCCCCTGCGTTGCAATGTACTCATGTGGAGAGTTGTACCCCTGTGGGAAGAGATCTATATTCATCTTTACTGCTCCAGTAATTCCAGGAAAGAATGTCAAATCTGGCAATGTTACAAGATGTGGGCAATCCACCTCCCTTTAAGCAAACTCTCTACGATGCAGCTGAATATTTCATTATCCATCCCTTAACACAAGCCGTTCACTACCCTCAATTGAGCAGGTAATTCAGGTTGTACTCAGGTCCACTGGGTTAATCAACAACAACTTGCGCCCTCCACGCAGGGTAACGGCTCAGAGCGCTTCACAGTGGCGGAGCCTGACTCAGGACTTGAAAAAGGGGGAGAGAGGGGACAAGGCGGAGGGATTGAGGGAGAGCGTTCCAGAGTATTGGGGCGTAGTGGCTGAAAACACGACCTCCGATTGTGGGGTGGAGGGTGCGAGGGACGAGCAGGGGCCCAGGGCCGGGGCCAGTCGAGTGGACTGGGGAGTGAGGAGGTCGCAGAGGCTGGGAGGTGCCAGGGAGTGAATGGATTTGAACAATTCAAAGTGAATGGTTTTGTAAACTTAATTATACTGCAAGCAAAGGTTGAACATTGATCTGTTAGAGTAGTGAGAACTGAGCATGTTTCTGCATTGAAACATGCACACAGACCTGTGCTCATAGCATGATCGATGCTGCTGACATTTTTAATGTAAGGAAATGGTCAATTTAGCTGTTTAAATAACTTGAAAAATGTATAGGTGGTCCAAAGAATATTTTAAAGTTTAAAGGTAAGTAAGACTTGCCTACAATTCAGAAAAACCTGAATCCCCTGCAAGTCTCTAAGTCTCTATTGATGATATTTTTTGAAAGGGAATGCCCACTCTCCCTGGGGGAAAAAAAGGCTTTCGGAGCCCAGAGTGTGCGTTGGGTTTATTGCTGAAATCCAACCAGCTAGAAACACATACCTCACCATTGAGAGCACTGCCTGGCAAGCTTCCCTGCTGCTTGTCCAGCTAGGACCACCTTACCCATTAGGACTTGTCCAGCTTGCCAATGGGACTTTAGTAGTAAGAAACCCACCCAACATGAATGAGAGCATTATCCAGGGCTTCTCCTTTGACAAGCAACTAAAGCAAACACTTACAGGGATGTAGTTAGCATTGATGTAGTCCGAGCCTTCCTCATCATGAAGAGAAACCAATTTGACTCGACTGAAGTCATCTGTGGAAATAACAACCATCATGTGAAGATATTGCAGGCTTTTCATTTATTATTAATTATTATTATTACATCTGTTATCAAACCCTTTGCTTGTGATCAAAGGGATCTGATTCAAAACGATGCAGCATTCAGCTTGGAAAATTGCATGTGATGTTTCACAGAAATTACACTGCATTGCCATTTACAGATGTAGCCACAGGTGAAAAATGTTCAAGAGGGAAGCAATCTTATTGAAGATAATTGGATGAACGTGTAAAGTACTCACATGGCAGGATATTTGTGTAACGATTTTTACATCGATTTACTGGCAGTTCAGCAGTGTCATGGGATACATCCTGAGCAACAAGTTTCAGATCCTGATAATGAGATCCAGAGTGATATCAAGGAATGAGCAAACAAGGTTAGCACAGCAATTTGCATTAATATAGCTCCCTTCAAGCAGGATAATGTCTCGGTGTTTCCCGGGGACATCAAACAAGGGAGGAGAGTGATAGTAGCGGTTGTAGAGTTTTTTTTAAACTGGAATTTAACGACAGATAGAGACGGAGTGAGAAGGAGGGGTAGAGGGGGTGAGTACTGATATGGGGGCGCAGTTGTTGAAAGTTCTATGTATGTAATAAGTGATGCTACCACATAGTGGCAGTGTTGTCAGCGTAAATGTTATGTGGTGATAGTTTAATGACAAAATTAATATTTGCATTTAATATAGCACCTCATCACGCTAATAGGTCACACAGCAACTATTGTGATATAGAGACACGTAGCAGCTAATTGATGTAAGGAACAACCCACTGATAACAATTAGATGACACTGGGCCAATTTTGTTATTGAGGACACCTCACCGTGCTGAAGATTACAAGGGGAGAGAGGAAAAACATTCAATCGGCAATAATTGGGAGTGTGTATACCTGTTTGTGAAGTGGGTGGGAGAGGCAGTATTCTAAGAGGAGAAATCCTTTGTAGGGGACAACAGCAGCTCACCTCAAACTGAAGAGAAAATTTGTAATCCGAATCTCTGGCCATATCCTTCAGGTACATTTCAAAGTCATCCAGCTGGACAGGGCTGTGGGAAGCAAAGCCCAAAACAATGAATTGGTTTGTCTCATCTCAAAAGAGCAATGAGTGAATGTTCTAAGGAATCAGTTCATTTTGATAAACAGAGAAGAGAGTCTTTACTGTTAAACTAGTAACATTAAGTAGTTGAACTCATCAACTTGAGCTAGCGCAATTTTTGTTGGGAGAGTTGAGATTCAACAACGACATCTTGTGCACTTATATAGCGTGCTTCACAGTGACTCGGAGCTCTCAGTCAAGTCAAGATACCAGTCAAGATATCTTATTCACTCAAGACACCTTGCGAACTCTATAGCTGAAAGCATTAACGCGATAAATCGAATGCCATTAGCTATTTGGCTTGTGATAATATCAATAATAACAGCTCCTGCACAATGTCAAACCATACACTTGATGTCTATCAACTGTGACATTGAGCATTTCAGTGAGAGAGCTGCAGCCTGAAGCAAACACCAACAATGAAAGTTATCCAATGTGAAAAAGGCAACACATAGCCAAGATCACTCAGTGCTTTATGAACAATGTGACACACATCTCAGCCTTGTCACTTCAGCTTTTGCTGGACTTAATCTTACTTGGCATACATAATCTTACTGGGATGACACTATGCTGGATTTTATGTGACCTTAAGCAAACTATCTGTACTGTTGGTTCCAAAGCATTGGAGGGAGGGGGTAAAATGCAATACAATATAATCAAATCGGATTGACTGCACTAATTGGGGACGCAGTCAAAATTATTCTTTTGGCCGAGTAATGGTTCAAAGATCTGACAAAAGGCCAGGAAGCAAATGTATTCATAAATGTAGCCAGTTTTTAATGTGTTTTCAAAACCTTTGGGATTCAAACGTTGACAGTGTTTTTTTGGGACGGGGTGAGGATAAATTTCAGAATTGTGACTCACAAACCAAAAGGGTAAAAGCAATAAATTTGATTTAACTATGCAATACACTCCAGTGTCTGCAATGGTTGATGTGCCTGTTATTTTTCATTGCCCACAGCCTCCAGGCCAATTGCTGACAATCAATAAACTCTTTACTCAAAATTTAAATCACCGAAACAGGTTACCAGGAAAAGTGATCGAGGCAAAGACACTGGACCCATTTAAAAACAGCTTGATGATGTGATGTGGTGTGTGTTCTGGAAGGATGAGATTAGTTGGACTGAAATTTCTTCATCCAATTGCACACAGCAGTGTTCCCCAAACAGTCGTGGATTGAGTGATCAAATTGTTTTTTCGTTTTTTGAGGGATTATTATCCCCGGAAAGCGAGCCACCAATCGACTAACAACAGATTCCTTGACTGCTAGGTAAACAGAGGCATGTGGAATAAGGAAATTGCCTAAGGTTTTGTCTCACCCAGGATAAAAGCAGTGATGTTTTCTGTTCCCCAAATCACACAGAAACAAAAGGTTCTGGGCAGTAGAATGAGTGTTCTTGCCCGCCAACCATTTTGTGGTGGAATGGGTTAAAATGAATCTCAGCACAAAGTATTGCATAAATTGGGTTTATTTCCTGATCTTGTGAACTAAAATAACAAGCAGCTGCGTGTGTGTTCTGCCAATACATATAACGTTTGCTCATCAGTTATGCGTTGAATATTACGCAACTTTGGAAGAAGAGAACTAAAAATGAGGCTTCCCTGCCTTTGACCTAATGTGGGGAAGTAAATGCAGAAAAGCACTGAAACCGTTAAAAGTGACGGCCCACTGGCTCAGATATTATTTTACTTATGAGGAGAATATTGATTAGTAGGAAATGGGTTTGTATTTGTAGTTTGAGTTCTTCATGTCAAGTGCAATGCCGAGTTGAGAGGCTTTTTAGTTGCGGAGAGGACAAAGACACGAGGGAAATGCAAATAGCTCTTGTGCCCTTTTTTTAAGCAATCGTCGATTGAGCCGAGTATGCTGCAAAAGGCTGAGCAGCACAAAGGCTGCCCTGGCAACGGAAATGATGAGTTTAGGTGGAGCTTAACAGGGGGAATAAATGAACAAGAGATAAATAGAAAGCTTATTATCGGAGCTGTCCTATATGACAATGTTACTGGTGAAAACGATATTAGATGAATAGTTTGCTTCAATGGATCGAGATGGAATTTCTTTGAAATTCTTTGAAAGTTCTTGCTGGCTTCAAAAATTAAGAATAAATTCTGGATGCTCTAAACATGACCTAAATATAATAGTAATAACAGGTAGAATTTTACCCTACAAATCTGTTAAGAAGCACCACAATTTTTACACCACAGTAACATTTTCAAGCAATACATACGCCATTGTCAATTTAGCCTGCACATCCAATTTTTCCACAAGATTCGTTCAATTTAATTACTGTATCTCTAAATGTAATAACCCTGAAAGCTTTTATTGATATGAACTCGCCAACTTCCTTTTTCAAAGCCTTTGTGCTTTCTTATTCTACCACCCACACTGCTAGTGTGTTCTACGTGCTTTCACCCTTTTACTAAAACAAGAACCTGTTCCATTTCTTGATCTCTTTTGCTGCAGTTATTTTGAAGAAATCGTACAGAAGTGCCATTGAAGTTGGAATAGAACTAAAGATAAAGTGAATACTTTCATCCTTCTTAGGCCATTATGCACACTTAATAATAATCCTTGCGTTTGATAAGCATATTATCACGTCTTCGAGACGTCTCAAAGTGCTTCACAGAATATACTGTATATTTTGTGGGTCGAAATCCAGCAGCCAATTGCGCACAGCAGTGACTCACAAACAGTCGTGGATTACTATGAATATATTACATTAATTCCTACAGATATTTCTGAAGGATAAATAAGAATAAGTAAATGGCATTTAAACCTACTTGGTCAATTTCCTCTTCTTCAATGCGTATTTATTCCTGTAAGTGAATATAGGCACGGTAAGGATATGGTTAAAAAGTCATTCTTCATCTATGACTCAGACATTTGCTTAAATTCACCCAAAAACTTTAACGTATGGACCGTTCAAATTCTTCATTTATAAAATATTAACTGTTGTGTATATGTAACTCTCATGGCCATCCATATTCCAGATTGTTATTCAACTTTATAAAGCTTTTTCGTCATTTCTTTTCTGAAGTTTTTTCATGTTAGCAACTTAAAAATGTTTGTTACCCAACATTTTCTCACCAGAAGGAAGAGTCTCAAAGGATGACAATCATTTAGCATCTCCACTCTGAGCAGTAAATGACAGAGAATGTTGGAACATTTATGTAATACATATATGTACTGGATCGCACTAAAATGATTGCAGATTGAAGGGATATTGGTTCAGTCTGTTTGGAATAGGCGCAAATTTAGAGAGTGTAAATCCAATCAAATAATCTCCTCTCTAAAAGGATTTATCAAAATGATTTGGCAATTCAACAAAGAGAATTCTGTAATTCATTTTTTCATTAAGAAGAAATCTTTAGGGATTATGAATGGAATTGATAAGTGGATGTAAAATATTCAATTTGAAACGGGTATAAATATGTTAACATGGTATCACCTGGAACTCTGCTACTTGTTCAAATAGATAGTTAACCACTGCCTGGTAAACAAATGGGAGACTGAAGGCCTTCCTGATGATATCAAGCATAAATTTACCGGGTTTTCTTGTCACCTTGTTCGTTTTTGTGGGCTATCTTTCCCTGCTACAGTTCTTCTGTGGCTCCACTGTACTCATCAAGCTAAATATAATATTAATCGTCGCATTTTATATAGCGCCTCATCACGCCATTGAGACGTCTCAAAGCGCTTCACAGAATTTATTGTAAAGTAGGTTGACTGTATTTGTGGGTGAAAATATGCACAAAATACTGTGACAAATTTGCTTTTTTCAGGGACTGACGCAAATGAATCAGGAGAGAGTAAGATCCATTGTAGTTTATGCTCTTAAGACCTAAAAGTTATATGATCTTAACCATAAGGTCACAAGTCTTAAATATTAAGATTGTACAGAATTTTGAAAATGGGTTTAAATTCAGTCTCAATATGGACAATAAGCAAAAGACATGAAGTTTTGTAGACTTTTGATAAATATAAAGTCATCCCTGTGGCAAAGTGCATGTAAGTGAATGTTGTGAAAATTGTATTGAGTCTCCTGTTCTGTGCTGACATAGCCTGACAACACTCACTGAGGTCCATTATAAGCTGATAGTAAAGAGGGATCGTTCCGCTATATCTTTGCAATGGGATTCATCACTGTCTCACTTGTGAAGAGCAGTCACCTCAGTGAGATATCAAAGTATGTCTTGCTTTCATAAAACTGAACCCTGGCGAGTCGGTAACTTCAGGAGAGAAGGGGAGAAAAGGGAGGAGAGAGCGGGAGGGGAATTATGTTGAAAAGTCCTGATAAGACAAGACAATTTAACAGTATTGAGAAGATTTGATGTGTTTGTGTTTGACAGCTGTTGGGGAGCACAGACAGAGGTGGTCAATCTGTCCCTTTCCATTCAAAACTAATGAATTATGTGGATGAATGCTCCAATGTATTGGAATAAGAGGGTTAATCTCCCAATTGACCTTGAACAGAGATACTGAAATTGTTGGAAAAAAATTTGGGTATTTCTTTGGCTACCTGACTAATCTTATTTGGCATTTTTTGTAAGAATATGGGGTCTAACTTGAAGTATTTCATAACATGGAAAGGAATTGTTGTTGACTTGTGGGAACTTTTGGGAGGTAGATTGCATTAGGGTGAACATTCCCTGGGCCAAGTATTTCTGGTCATCAGAAGGGTCCCTATTTGGGCAACTTGAGTTCCTTATTAAGGGACCCTGCTAAGAAGTAAACATTAGACAGTTATATGTGTAGTGGTACAGTGATCAGATGAAATGTACAAACATCTTACTATCTATTCCTATCTTTTTACATTTTGTTGATTCCAATACTAATCATATCTTCCCCGCCTCACAAACACACACACATAAAACACATACACACAAACACAAGCCATGTACAGTACAATACAGATACCTTTGAGAACTCTCCTATATTTTGTAGCCAGTAGCTTCTCACGTCTGCACAACGCAGAAGTCGGAGAAAGTTAGTGGATTGTAGTTAAGGTGATATTAGCTTTAACATTTCTCGGGAGGCATCAGATAAGACCATCAAAAAAAAAACTTACCAAGGATTAATACCAAAGGCCAAAAGATAGTCAGTCCAAAGGCATGATGGGAGCAGGGCAAGAACAGCAAAAATACTTCTACGCCTGAGAAAAATGCAATACAGACACATAGAGACAAAGAGTCTGTTTGATTAATAAGAGAGACAATTGCCTGTGATTAACATTGACATGAGGAAAGACTGTTAGGTATATTGCTATTTTGCAGTAACACAGACATGCTGCACACGGGGAATAAGATAGCGCTAGAATGGGAAATATAGATTGAGTAATGCATAGCAAAGTTAACATGGTTAATAGATTGATTTGCACAAGCCTAGACAAAACTGAAAGTGCTGCCTGTTAATCTTTAAAGTTCTCTGTTGCCGTTTTGAGCGTTACATCTGGAATGTCGCTGCGAGTAACACAGCATCTGGATTAGTGCTGTGAACAGCTCGTATTGAATTAGAATTACATGAAGATTTAGGATTGACATGGTCAATGTTTGGATTTATCTGAGTGCAAAGTGTGTTGGTCCCTAACTTTGCAAGCAGAACATTGTTCTTCATTTTTTTTTACAGTGTTGGTTCTTTGCTTGAGATGTAGGGCTGGATTGTGCCTTAGGTGAGTACTGAGAACTTGTCACTAGTGCTGAATTGTGTGACCCACAGAAGATATTTTGCACTGTGGGCTTTTGTTTCAATCTTAATTTCAGTGTATTTTGCCGAATCACAAATATAACACTGGTGGAAAGGCAAATTCAGAAGACATGATCCAGGTTTTTTTTTAAAAAAATAACCAGCAACAGATAATGTGAATGGAAGCAAGCTATTTAACATAAGACCACAAGGAGAGCACAACTCAAACATATAGGTTGAAATGACAAATCCTCCAATAGGATAAGACACTTTACTCACAGCAAATATGTAGAACAGACTCTCAACAAAGCAATTAACATTATCTCAATGAACCTCTTCAACAAAGGACTGGATAAGAACTGTTTAAGAACTCTATCAGACGATATAGGGCAGTTGATTAGAAAATGAAATGAACAGGTTTTGTGTGGGACAACACGATTTGTCATGGTGGGAGAGAGAAGGGAATCAGAATGCAGTGCTTCACCTTGCTGTTTCTTGATGCTGAGTTGCGTTTCAATTTCTATATTCAAAATATTACCACCTCTTCCATCTCCATATCAATGCCACCTGCTCTCCTGCTTCTAGTCAACTATTCACACCCACTTTCTCCACTCGTTGCCTGATATCTTGCCCTCCACAACACCGTATGAAAACCACTCTCTCTAGTCACCTTTCTGTTTTTAAACAAAAACATTTCTCTCAGTTTTTGAAAACCTCCAATGCCTATTTGACTTGATCCTGTCTTCAAGTCACCTGTAAATTCCTCTCGCTTCTAGCTTTGTGTCTGCTCCTCCCAGTATTAAATGCATTAATATCAATGGTGCATCATAGAGGCAAGTTGTTCTTGTTCACTGTTGACTGGAGGGAAGAAGGCCTGGGATAAACAGGATGATGTGAAGATGAAGAAATATTATGGAACTTTTGTTGGATTATCTTGAAGAGATCAGGGGATATTTGTGCTCAACTCTCCTACAGCAGATAGAGTGAATGGGATAGTGTCTGCGACAATGATAGGTTTCGGTGGTCAGTGGATGAAACGCTTGAAAGAGCAATTGACTTGACCTTTTCTCGTTCCATGACTCAACTGGTGGAGAAGCAAGTCTAGAATGTACTCCCCACCTATCAAAGGGACCACAGCGAGCGCAGATAAACAGTTTTACAGGAGAAAATTATAGATCACCAACCCACATGGGGACCATTTATACACAGTGGTGTAGATAAGGTCTGGTAAAGGTGAGCATTTCCCAATAAAACTAAATTCAACTTTCTCTTTTTGCTCTTTTTTTAAAAAAAACGTCAAGTCAAGAACATGGGTAGAATTCCCACCATCCCGATGACCTGATTAGATTGACACTAGCCAACTGGTGCCTGTAAAATGAACCCCTTGATTGACTGAGATGTGAAAATGGGTAAAAATAATAATAGAAAAACAGCATGGTATATTTGAACTCCCAGTGGTTTCCTCATACATGCTTTGGATGCAACAAGGAAGAAAATGCATGCAGCTTTGGTTGGATCTTCTTAATGTAGAAAGATTTTGCCCACAACTTCATCAACATGACTTGAGGAGAAGCCAATACAACTGCACCAAGTCCTTCTTCCCAATCAGGGAAGAATATAGAATCTCCAAGTGACCACAATAAAACAGCAAGGTCCAAAAATCAGATCATGTTTACCAAACAAATCAATGAAACATCAAAATTATCAATAGAAATTATAATTCCCATGAATTATTTAGTATCACATATTTAAGTGAGGAATATTTACTGGCGTTGTGTGACGTTTTCAATCAATTCAATTGCAATGCCAAATACAGAGCTATATGTAGTAACTGAAACCAGACAAATTGACACTTAACAAAGACATAGGCAGCCGACATTGTAATGAAAAGCAGGATTTTGAATGCAAACAAAATGGGATTTCTGAATATAACCACACCCACAAAATAATTCCTTTTCTCACTGAAATGACATGTTCCACAATAAGCCTTTTGCAGATATAATAACATGTTCAGGTAGTCAAGCTTATTATTTTCTACCCTCTCTCTCTCTTTGTAATGGAGACTTACACTGTGTCTCAGTAGGTTTTATGGGCTCTTATTCATTATTATTGTATCATGTCACAACCAAAGCATACAATGGGAAGTTAGGTCCACAAACTATAATTGAGAGAAGAGCCTATTATGTGGTGTCCAGTGTGTGTGTATGTGTGTGTTAAACATTATTTTATGTGTCCATTCCCCTTGAACCTACCAATTAAATGGTATCTTCCCATCTCTCTCCAAAGTGGCAAAATTGACAAATATTCCTGCTCCACAGTTCCTGTAAAAACGATAACAAGATCATTTATAAATGGGCTTGGTTTTCAATAAATTGGAAGCACAAAATCTAAGTATGAAAAACAGTGTCTGCACTCATAAACGCATGGAAATGCAAGTACCTGGTGTGTTGTAGGTGTTTGCGTCTCAGTACAAAGAGAGTGATCAACAGAAGGCCGATAAGCAGGATACTCAGGATAGCAAGGGCAGATATCACCACCATGTTTGAATTCAATTCCGTAACTGTGTTGAGAAGAAACAGTTATGAACTCTTTTCTCACATTGGCAGCACTTTCCCCCAATTCTCATCTTCATTTGGTTAAAACTCATTCCATACATGAGATAAATCAGCTTACAACACATAACTTGCTCATGAGATCAACAACAAAAACAAGTACATTTGTACAGCGCCTTTAACGTCTAGAGGACGTCCCAAAGTGCTGGACAGTTAGGGATTTGGACTCAAGATGGGGGTTGGGATCAGGATGGGTGGAGGGCACGGAGGGTAGGGGTAGAAGGGTGACTGAAGGCACGATCGAACAGGAGGGTCTTGAGACCCTCAAAACATATCACTTATTTATTACGATCAAACCCGACCCTCCTGGCTCTGGTTCAACCCTAGACAGGAAAGCAGTTTGACTAACGTTTTGTATAGAGTTAATGCCCCTTCCAAATAGCTGCGTCCAATAACAGTCAAGAAGCTTCCCCAAGGTATCAGCAAACACTTCTTTAATTGAAAAGCTCTTAGTCATGTAAAATATGCTGAACAGAAAGTTTAAAAAAGCCCGCAGAACTTCCCTTATTGTTCCTCTTATTTCTCCAATATTGCCTATGAAATACACAGTCCTACATTTTACTGTGAAATCCTTTGTGACATTCTCCTGACATGAAAGAGGCTATGTCAAATGTAAGGATTATTATTATCATCACACACATCCTCCTCTAACAGTGGCTATTAGTTTCATTCTAACTGTTCTTTCTGCAATGGTGGGGTGAAGCCTAATCTAAGAAAAGACAGATAAAGGTCACTTTTCTCCAACTATTTATCAATGGGATCAACTTACTGTGAAATCAAGAAAAAAAATTGCCACCGCACTTTATTTTCATCTACCTTCTTCTAGATTCCTCTAGTTTGCTCACGCGTGTGATAATAATAATCATATTAATAATAATTGGAGTTGAGCTTTAGATCAGCCATGTTCTAATAAAATGGTAGAACAGGCTCCAGGGGCTGAATGGCCTACTCCTGTTCCTATGTTCCTAAGCAACCTGAATCATTTTCTATGTGAAAGATGCTATATAAATACAAGTTGTTGCTGTTGAACCAACCAATATGATCTACTAGAACATTCTCTTGAGTTTACTTACCCTCTGATTACTCTCTCTGGGAAACACTTTCCTTCTATTTAACAATGCACTTATAAGAACCCAGGAAATACTTAAACTTAACACAGCTCAACCACATCATGGTCGCTTTACATTACATCAACACCCTCAGATCAACACTGTTGTTTCAACTGCCTTAATTATATATTAGTTTTTCGGTCCCAAAAAATGGAATAGAATGCACCAACAGTGACGGGATGCAGGCCTTGATTTTGTTCTGTGAAGCAATGTCTAGCTGCACTGAACTTCAACACAGTTCTATCAGATATCAATCTGTTGCGTTATCCTATAGCTCACCTATCCTATCTAGCCTGCCCCAAAACCAACCCACTTACACAAAAGTCGGTTTAAGTTACAGGGAGCCTACTTTTACTTGTAACCAAGGACTTGTGCACTAAGCCCAAAAGACATAGGAGCAGGAATAGGCCATTCAGCCCCTCGAGCCTGCCCTGCCATTTAATAAGATCGTGTAAAACCTAATTCCATTTATCTGCCCTATCCCCATATCCCTTAATCCCTCTATCCTTTAGAAGGATATTCCTAAGACTGTCTTCATTTGCCTACAAAATTCTACGATTCTCTGATCGTATGGGTGACATTCCCTGGCTGCAAGCAGAGTGATTTTTTGACAGCGATGGTACCTGTAGTTGAGACAGCTATGAAGACTGGTTGGCTGTAACTGTCATAACTAACGCTGATCACACTACAGTTGTAGGAAGTCGATGGCACAAGATTGTCGAGCGTAACAATGGTCGAGTATACGGTGGCTTCTTCCTTCTAAGGAGAAGAAAACAAAGGCAACTAGATTGGGAAAAGTCCCTGCAGAGCATATGAAAACGAGACACTAGTGTGTGTGAGAGAGAGAGAGAGAGAGAGAGAGAAAGAGACAGTGTGTGTGTGTGTGTGTCAGAGAGATAGAGAGCGTATGTATGTATTCCGGTATCAATGTTTCCTTCTCTCCATTGACAGAATTGGTTGTTAACTTCTCCGTCTTCAAATCAAATCAGTTACAGTAATATTAATAATAAATATAATATAAATCTTACATTTATCACCAACGCTTCTGATAGTCTTCGCAGGGTTGAGATTTAGCTGGCTACTCTGTGGCAGGCTGACCTTGTTAAACTCTTTTAACAGTCTACCAACATAAAGCACCAGTTATCACAAGTTACGTGATTACTTTTTCTGTGCATTTATCATGGGTTTCCAAATATAAAGTGCCAAAGCATGAGAGGAAGCTGCCACGAAGGGGAAGTAGCCAGACAGTGTTTGAAATTTTTTTAAAAAACTGGAATTGCAAATCAAGCTAAAAATAATTAAACTGACACATAAATCATGAAATTACAGTAAGCCTCTGTTATGCCTCTGCGAAAGACCAACACTTTTGCAAACTCTCTGACACACACAAATCATCTAGATCCTTAAATATGCATTACTCCCAGTGCAAGAGTATCGATGGCTCCAAAAAAAACACAACCACACTGCCCCTGAGCATTGTGCAACAGAAATGTACACTGTAGTTCTGCGTGTGTTCCCTTGAAATGTACCCTGCCTGAAGCAAACCTAGGTTCGAATGTAATCTTCTGAAAAACAATAAACTTGCATTTCGTTTTGGTCAGCCGTGCGTCTGACACATTCGGAAACCCATCACCGCGCTTATGAGTATCTGAACTATCTCCCACAGGTGGAGATTCCAGAGATAGAGTGTTGGAATTTTGGTGGCGATGCGCTCACCGAATTTCATGCTGAGATGTGTTGTCCCCCCCACCACCGGGAAGCTCACAGGATGTTCCTGGTACCTGCCATCCTCTTAAGGAGGGCTCAAACCCGTGCTTGTCGGCTGACAGATAAACGTGTCTTGTATATTAGACATTCATATAACAGGACAGCATATTAGAGGACTGTGTTGAAGCGAGTCAGATGCAACCAGGGTGCAGGAAAAAGTCACTGCAGTGCTCTCACACACAATCTCAGAGCAGAATTCCTTACCCGACTCTGCACTGTAGAGCAATCCAACGAGTGCTTAGTTAAGGAACCCAAGGCATCGTTTAGATTAAAGTCAGATCCTGAGACAGATTGGATGGCACAATGGGCTCTTTGACTTGTAGGAAATGGGATTTTTCCCACATTTGTGGAATGAAAATCTCTCTCTCTTGGCTGCAAGAGTCGTTCATACATAAAGAAATAAGTTTGTCCACTCACATCCCAGTAAACTGAGAACAGGACTGAGAAGGTTGTGGAGAATATAGCTGTCCTGTTATTGAGTGCACCTGTTAGATACTGCAATGGGAGCCCTTCATCTTCATGATGGAATTAAAGGTTCATAGTAAGCACCACAAGGATTCAATGTTTTTCCTGAGAGTGTTAATTGTTGTTGATCAGTGCGCCAACTGAATTCATACGGAGAAAAGTTTTTTTTTAAAAAAACAAGAGGCAACAAACCTTTCCTTTAACGCTCGATCCAATCTGTTTGCAAATGACCTCGTAGTGATCAGTGATCCCTTCCTCCACCCAAAGCAGAGTCACAGACGTCTGTGTCTTGTTAACAGCAAACAATGACTTAGGAGGAGCTGGATCTGTGAGGTGAAGAGTATATCACAATACTGAAACGTTTAACATAATCTCTTCCTGCTTAAAACTGCAGGGGGCAAAGATTGTGCAACTTGTTCCTGATACATTTTACTCAACAATTATGACAGGCTCAAATCTGCACTTGTCAGATGTCAGTTGATTCCTGGGGGGAAGGCGAGGTAAGCATTTTCTCTTTGGAGCTGAATTAAGTGGGATCTCCTTGCGAGGATCAACTGATTGAATAGTTGGTGAACGTCGCCATTCTCCTCCTGATTTCCAACATGGCCCCAGGATCAGACTTAAATCTGAACCATATACTTAAACAATGGTGCCTTTGATCACTCCGGGTGAGTTGGTTGCTAAATCGGATACATCGCTTCTTACAGGGGAAGGAGAAATTCAAGCCATATTGAGTATGGTTTTGCATGTCTGCTTTCAGAATGGAACTTTCAGGGAACTCATAGCATTTCCCAACAGACTAAACCCACCAAATAGTTCAGAACATCAACATTGTATGTGGGGTTGGGAGGGGGGATATTTTAGTCACAATTGAAAGGCAATCTAAATTTAGCTTCACACTTCACAGCTCTATACAAGTGAAGTGACTTCACTTCCAGCAATATAAATACAGCACTGAAAGTGGAACTAAACTATGCCCTTTCCTCTTGTCAATATATAGGCTTTTAAGAGCTAAACTGCATCACCTACCACTGTTAACTATGCTGTGTTTTCAGCCTTCATGATAGATAATCCAACCAAAAAAGCAAATAAATAAATAATCCTTGCATTTGATAAAGCACCTTATCACGCCTTCGAGACATCTCAAGGCGCTTCACAGAATATACTGTAAAGTGGATTGACTGTATATTTTGTGGGTGAAAAGTGGCAGCCAATTACTCATAACACTCAAAACTTCAACTCAGTTATTCAATACAAAACCACTGTGTAAGCATAAACTATTTTGAAATACTTCATATATTTTACATTGCTGTAAGCACTGTGAAACATCACCCATGGGCCTGATGAAATTATCAAGAATATCTGTAACGAGTGTAATATAGAAAAAATACTAACCAAGCTGGACTAAACGTGGAGCTGAAGTATTACTGCTCCCTTCCGTATACGCTACGACAGTAAGGTTATAGATATCTCCAGGAGGTAGTCGTAGAACAGTTGTCATTACACTGCGTGGCACCTGAATTGAACAAGAGATGTGCTGTAAACACATCATTAATATTGACCAATAAAGCTTCAGTTTTGGCCCCTGTTCCCATCACTTGAGTCTAAGAGTAAACAGAATGACCTGTGGATGCATGAAAAATTCCTGCAATGAGTAAAGAGAAGAAATCATTGGATCGGTTTGAACGAAGAAGGACCTTCATCCTTCCAGCATACAGTCAAGGACTAATGGGATTTCCCATTACAAAGTCTCTGAAAAAGATCACTCTATTTAACAATCGGTTTAAGATACATCCCTTAGTTTGCTTTTGACTTAAAGCATGTTCAATGCACAAATACGAGTACCTACACTTTTTTTAATGATTCTTCGTCCAACAGCTACAACAAGCCAGTATGGAAGAGTTGAATTGGATTCTCCCATCACAGTATCACCATACTTCCAGCTGAGAGACAGTATGTTCTTGGAGTACTCCAGCCTGGTAATCTCGGGGGCAAGTGGTGCTGCAGTAACAGACGCAGAATGGCTTTATGCTTGTCTAGGCGAGGTGTATTGCATTTCAGGTACTCAATATCATTATCAAACACATCTGATCTGGCATCAGCACACGCGTCAGATTCTCTAATCACTAGCACCTTGGCTGAGACCAGCTAAAGCCTCAGGACCCTCATAGACCTCACTCTGAGAATGATATCATTCAAAAAAATTATATCATTCCGAGAAAAGCTTGGCCGACTCTGGTCTATTCCATGTCACCCGCCCAGCCCATCCCACCACCTGTGGTCAGGCCTTCAGCCTCTCTGCCCCCACCCTTTGGAACTCCATCCCACAGTCCCTTCACCTCTCTCCCTCCCTTGCCTCCTTCAAGAACCTCCGCTTTTATCACCCCTTCAGTCACTTTCCTACCCCTGCCCTCCACCCTGCCTGATCCCAACCCCCAGCTCAGGTGCACATCTTTGACCATCCAACGCTTTGTGAAAAGTGCTATACGAAAGTAATTCGTTGTTGGGAGTAACTTGTTGGTTTTCCTCAGAAATTTACTCAGAACTGCACCCTCATGTGTCAGGGCATAATAATAATAATAATAATAATAATAATAATAATAATAATAATAATCCTTACATTTGATATAGCGCCTTATCACATCATTGAACCGTCTCAAAAGCATTTCAAATTGAATTGACTGTAATAGGACAGTGGTTTCACTGTCAGTACCAGTGAACTTATTGCCAAAAGACTCCTTAACAGGAGCTCTGTGCTTTCAGTTGCTTTAGCCGTTTTGGTTCTACTTTCAATGAGACGGCAATATGTTAGCGCTGAAGTTTTTACCTGTCGTGTAGCTGGCAGAAGAGTTATCACAGCAGCTGTGTTCAGGCTCTCCCCCTGATACCATTGTAACACGGAACTCGTAGCGGGCAGCTGGTAACAGGTTACCTACAGTCTGACAAAGAAAAAAGGAGCAAGTGTTACTAACACTGATAGCAATAATGGTACAACTGAAACACAGCAGTAAATATCAGAAACACTCTTAATAACGTTAGGAAAATACAACATTTATTACATTGAAAAGATTTTTTTTAAAAATGTGAATAATTGTGAATAGTAAAGCCCTGGACTGTCTCTATCTCGGGCTCTAGCGATTTGAAAGGCACTATATGAATATAAGTGTGTAACGATTTTTGTAGTGGGGACTCACAGGGTGACAATAATATGCAAATATCTGTTATAGTAACTCGATTACCATTGAGGTTGTTAAGGCAATTGTTGCTGGAATATCTTGAATAGTTTTCCACTTTGAATTCTGATTCACAGGGTCATGATGGTACATTTCCACCACATACTTATCAAAGACCACAGAATAGGGCCTGCTCCAGCTCAATATTGCTGCACTGGGTCCCAGAGGATATAGTGATATATCCTTCACTCCTGATGGATCTATGGAAGAAAAACTCTATATGAAAACATAAGAATTGCTAGATGAAAGAAGTCCAAGGTCCATGCAGTTCGCCTTTCACCATCCTGCACATGGCATATATTACATGTATATTATAACCCCCGATATTTTTTCCTAAAAGAAATCTATTGAATTTGCTTTTGACAGAATCAACGCTTTCTGCTTCCATCGTCTTCCAAGGGAGCCTAATCCTTACATTGACTACTCGCTCACTGAAGGAGTGTTTCCGCAGACCTGTTTTGAATTTACCCCCCACTTCAGTCACAGGCCGTGTCCTTTGGTTCTACTGTTGTGGACAAGATAAAACAGCTTATCATGGTCTACAATATCCATTCCCTTTAGAATTTTAAAAAATACCATCATGTTGCCTCTCAACCTTCTTTTTTCAAACGTGAACATGCCCAGTTTACTTAATCGCTCCATCACCTCAATCATTCTAGTTGCCCTCTTCTGTATTCTCTCAATATAGGAACATATATAAAAGCTTCCCATGTGACATTAACATGTGTTGTCTATATGTCAGCCTGTAATGCAGGATCCATCAAGGTTACATGTTTACCTTTGTTCAATTTGTCCCCTGTAGCCAGTAATAGGGCTCCTAGTTAATTTACTGATATAAATGATATTTAGTGGAAGGGAAAAATCATCCAAAGATGTTCTTAAGACATAAATCTCTTCCTTTACCAGATGAAGCTAATCGCAGAGAGGGATTTGATTTTGGAAGTGATGTTTGCTGGTCTTAAGAGACTTACCTAAGCCAAAGGTAACTGGAAGAGACGGAGGACCTATGGCAGGACCGTTCCTCAGGTACACTATCACCTGGTAATAGCCCCCAGGTATCAGGTGTGGAATTACTGTACTGCTGAGATTTACCTGATAAAACAGAGAGAGACATCAGAGCTTGCTTAATGGATGCCCACTCACTAAGTGCATATGGTACCTTTCAAAGTTGATGAATATTAATATCAAAATAAATTATTCTGATATTATTTTGAGCTGCGGAAATAAATTCTGATTCCTTCACTGCCTCCTCCCCAAAACAATTACTGCTCAGAAACTCGATCATTTCAGCCTTCAGTCATCCCATGCAGAAGTCTCAGCTTTTTTTATTCATGCCCATTCCCAATGCATTAATTTACAGTGTGTGCACTACTTTGTAGGAAAATGTTGAAAATCTACACTTAAAATCTCATAAAATTCCAGGTAAATGGCTCGGAAATCAGCACTGAAGACTAGTCAGCTTTCAGAACATGCACTTCATTTTCCTAGAATATCCTCAGAATGTATTTTCTGCAATTTCTAGTGATGAGTATTGGGTAGAAACAAAAAAATGTTTAATACCTATCAATCTTGGGATAAATGTTTGGGGGGAGGGAAATATTAGCCTGGAATTCTGGCTCATAATCACTATTAAATACCCACTCCCTCTTGGAAAGTGTGCGTGAAGAAAAAAGCTTCAAGAAAAAGCATGCATTAGTGTGCAGTTTGGGTAGTTGAGTTAGTTGCCTATTTTCACAGTCCGAACCCACACATAAAGTACAATCAGATACTAAAGTCAGCATCAGTGAAACCAAACCTAAGAAGAAGTGAGGAAGAGGAGGAGGCAGCCACCGCTAACAAGAAGTGACAACACATTCATGAACTCAAAGCTATAGTTAGTAAGGCAAATGTAGTCCACATATAGTTTCTGGGTGAAGACCTAACTAGAAAATAATGGAAACTGTCATTATTTATTCACTTGTTCACCACAAAAGCCCAAATCAATTAGTACCTTTTAGTTCAGCACCTGGAAACTTGGAAGAGGCTGAAAGATTTCAGTTTTTGATTCCGGTAGCAATACTGCAATGTACAGAGTACTAGACATCCCTTTCTACCGATGCTAGCGTGACTATAAGATCAGAATAAATCTGTCCGCTGAGTAAAGCAACATTTCCAACTGGCAGAAATAGCACTTAGGTTCTTCAAAAGGAAAACAAATAGTGTAAATGAATGGATGGCGTGATAAGACTGCATGATTCTGAAGAGTCAATCACAGTCATCACTAAACCCAACATTCAATCTAAAAATGTAAAGATAAAGATAAATGTAAGAATAAACTTGATTTTTTTTATTACTTTAGGTTATATAATACTGTATATATGTTAGAAAGTATATGCATTTATGTGTGTGGGGTGGGGGGGGGAGAATTTCTGAGACCATTTGATGATCCAATATAATCACAATGAAATAACTTTACATAACGTTGCATTAGATGAAGAAGGTTCATTTGATCTCTACATCCCAGAATACCAACCATTCAGTTACAGCACTATTATCATGTTGTTTTCTTAAATGAGGCAAGTGTCCTGGCCTCAACCTTCCAGGTGTTAATTACCCTCTGTGTCAATGAAAAGAATATTTCTTAGTGTCTGTCCCGAAATTATCCTTCTCATCCATGACTCTCTGCGTTGTCATATCAGAAATAGGCTTCATAGTTTAGCACCTTATGGACATTTTCAAGTTCGTACCTCAGTACAATAATGGGATTCAATTCTTTGGGCCCCAAATTGTTTTTGGCAGGAGATAGATATCACGGACACAATACTGTCATAGCTGGTTTCTTGTGAGTGTTTCCAGGACACTTTGGCAGCAGTGGAGTTTAACACTTTCACAACAATGTTCTCAGGCCTTTTGGTGATCTCTTCAAACCATTTCCCTGTGGGACCTTCAAACAAAACAAAATCAAAGTTTTCTTTTAATAAGCAAATCAATTCCATTTCTAATTTATGAGAGAAAAACAATAAACAAGAATATTGAGTAAATCTAGAATCAACTTGCAGAATGAAAAAATGCATACCAGAGATTACAAGAGAATTCCTAATTTTATTCCAAAATTTATGTTATTACAGAGGAATACAACAGATTAAATTGCCTCCTGCATGGCTTAATTCATGATCCAAACTCATTAAAAGAAAAAGGCTATTAAAAATATTATTTTGAGTATTCATACTCTTTATAGTTTTATTAACCTTTTACAAGGTTGCAATAACAGAAATCAATCCATCCACCACACAATATTTGGTTTATAACAATTCCTATAATATTACTAAAGAGTATTTTCACAATCGAATGTACCTATTGAATAAATCTCTCTGTCAAAGAGCATATATTTCATCAGGTCATTCATGTTAAAGGAACTTTGGTCTATTGATGAGGAAACCCATGTCTCACTGATCACATAAAAGAAAAACACTCGACTGATAGAGAACATGTTGCTATGGGGTCCACCATCCGTTAATATTGCTGCCATGTCTGATGGGTGTCAAAGAGGTTAGGGAGAAATATCTATTTCTAAATTCTTTATTACGTTCTTCTTGGAACAATTCCTTGTAAAATTCCATCAGTCATAAGTGTGGGAATTATATTCTTGGTTGTTTTACTCACAGAAATGGTCTAGATAAATCAATTTCTTCACTGCCATCAAATAGACATCAAAATAGCTCAGCGAGAAAGAACACCGAACAATCTTTTCGACTGGAAAATAATGACTTGTTCCCTGTTGGCTACAGGTACAATTCATGGTTTTACAGATATTGCTTTACGGACTGGGGTAAAGGAATCACTTTGTTTCTATTGAAGTTCTATAGATTTACTGAAGTTAAGCATTACTGTCACTGAACAATCTAATGGTTCTAGTTAGTGAATGTTATCATCTATCTCACTTATTGGCTCTAGTGAGTATTCACAGATTCAACAAAGGCCATGTATATAGCAAAACTTTATAATTAGTCACTGGCGTGGTCTATTGTGGCAGTTTAGTGGTTTATATTCACTTTTCTCGAGGGCCCAGAAGAAAGAGCATGGTCGGGGGGAGGGGAGAGGAGGAGGTGTGTGTGTGTGTATAAGAGTCCTATTCCTAGTGGGTATGCATCAGTGTCTATCAGATTTTAGGGGGAATAATTCTTCACGTCCTAATAGTTTTGTGGGAGATACTTCCCAAGTTGAACTTGGGTGGAGGTATTCTGCAATCAACAATTGCACAATAACATTTAAATTAAATAAACTTTAAATTCTGAGAACTGGCCCATCAACCCTCCTTATTCTGGACGTGAAATCTACCAGAATCTCCAAGAACTTTCACTCACCGCTCAACAGCCAGCCACTTACTTAGGTAGAAAGTCAAGGTTTTCCGGGATGAACTTTCTCTCGTTCCACATATCCCAGAGGAACTGACTGTTGTTACAGATGCCTCGTACTTCGCTGGGCCTTGAAGTTCCATTTTGAAAGCATAGCTGCCATTTTCTGCTGTGAAAATCTCGGTGGAATTCCCTGCAGAGAGCAAGAAGCATCGAAGTAAGCAGCGATGTGCAACAGAGCTGAATCTTTGAAGCTCTTCAAAAGCACATTTTGTGCTTACTTAATAAGCTGTCTGTCCTGCACTGGGAGGGGGCTTTGAGTAAAATCTTTGTGTTTCCTCTGTTACAAGGGAAGAAACGCATTTATTCACCCACAAAATATGCAGTCAGTTCACTTCACAGTATATTCTGTGAAGTGCCTTGAGACGTCTCAACAAAGTGATAAGGCGCTATATGAAATGCAAGTTTTTTTTATTAATTATTAATGTAAGACAGTTAGTTTACAAATGCAGAGCCATAATTTCGCTTCGTCTGAGCCTACTTGTAATAAGATAATTTTGCCTTAAAATTTAAAATCATGTAGACATATGGGAAGTCTTAAATTTAGGAACTGTTTCTTTTTTAAGAACCGCTTGACACCAACTAACCAAGCAGATTAACGTGAGGAGTTTTTCCAGAATTTTGTGCAATCTGAAGACAAAATTTTCCAACGGCTAAGTTGAGGTGAAATTTTGTCCCGTTTGCTTCATAATTTCTTTTATAATAGGATAATGTGTCTGATGGAGGGGGGGAGGTTGAACTCTAATTGCTCAAAGAAGAACATTTACTGACGTATAACAGCTCCAAGGACACCTCACTTACCTCCCCTTCCTCATAAATGATTACAGTACAGAATCATTTACATAACTTGCATCTTGCTACCAGGAGAAATGGTCAGATTCAAAATCGCCACATTTTAAACTTTAGTATTTCTGATAATAGTGTTATTTTCGGCCACAAAATATACGGTCACTTCACTTCACTTTACAGTATATTGTTTGAAGAGCTTTGAGACATCTCAAAGACGTGATAAGGCACTATATCAACTGCAAGGATTATCATTATTGTTTAATATTATTTTGTATTTGCCAGAAATCGTTTGGTTTACCTTCCTTTTGAACGTAAATGTTGAAATGGTCGTAAACGGTAGGTGGTTTTGGAGGCAGCCACTCGAGCACAAGCCAAACCTCTTCAGCGTTGGTTTCAGACAGCTCGGGTTCAGTGGTGGTATAAATAATACTTTGCTGATCTTCTTCAGACACATTAATTATATCAAAATAATCACTACCACTGGCTGAGATTTCCCTGCTGTCTTGCTGGAACTCAGGAGTCCAGTTCATATTGATCATTTCATCATTACCTTGCCCGGTTGTGTTATAATCACCCCAATGTAACGACTCCTTTGCTGTGAGATTATTGACCTGAACGTTAATTGTAGTCGTCTCGTCAGCAGTCCTATTCGTGTCCACAAATGATTCTTCACGGCCAGCGTGAACTTCAACAGAGGAGTTATTTCTTTTTCCATACACGATCTTCATGGAGACATTGCCTGGTGGGTAGGGAACTGTGGAGGGAAAAGGGACTTCATGAATTGATGGAATAATAAAATAAGCAAAATCAAAGTTATCTTGCTCCTTTATTTATTTAGTTTCCTGTCTCAACGTCTTTCACTGCTTTTCATTTCCACACTATCGCTTTTCTCAGTTACAAGGGCAGTGCAATGCCCTGGAGTGTCCTTCCTTCATGAGCTTTCACACCAGTGTTGCTAAATGAATCAATTGACTGGATGCACATACAAGTCATATCATCCCTCCAGCTAAATTCCTCCTCTAGCAGATGAGCTGTACATTTCAATTGGAACATTATAGGCTACAACCCACCTAATTATAGAGATGTGGAGAAAAGCTGTTAAACACTGGTGTGTGTATACGTGAGTCTGTGTGTGGGGGAGGGATGCTTCCCTGCTGTGAACATAACTAGACTCGACAGTGTGTTCTTATACTGGGATTTTCGAATGCAGCTTTTAGCCGAGGCAGCCACGATCCCCAAGGAAGGAAGAAACTGCCATAGGTGCTCTGTGACGCACGATGCCACAGCTCCACTGGGAGCCGGCACAGCCACCAGGTGTAACTGCCACGCAAAACACAAAACTGCCATACGTGTGTGATGAGCTTGTTTAGGTCATAAATCATCAACGATAGGAGATCCACATAAAAAAATATGCCCACGACACTCCCAAAATGCAAGGCCTTTCCGGTGAGGTATAAATCATGTCTCTACATCAATCGGTTATTGAGATCTTGGCTGACACACAGACAGACATTGTTGTTTTATTAGTATAGAGGAAGAAAATAGTTAGAAGATACGTAGGGAGTAGAGGGAAAATATTTACCTGTTCTGTGATGCTTTGGTTCATGACCAACTGCGCTGTATTCCATCAATGGGACTCTATTGACGTTTGCCTCTGCCACCAGCTGCAATGTAATGTTACTGTAGCATGTTCCAGGCACCCAGTTGTTGAAAATTAATTTGCCTTTTAAAAAATCTGTATTTCAAGAATGGACAATGAATAACACGACACGGTTATATCAAATCTTAAAGGTTGTGATGATATAGAAACCAAACAGGATTCATAATATTACAAAATTCTTGATGTATTATTCATTTTTATTAAGTAACATGGATTTATTTTTGTTCCATTTGCGGACAAATTGCTACAAGACTCCACTTTGTTCCACTTTTCACTCATTTTACGTCAAACTGAGTGAAAATGTCACCTAACTATCTACCGGGGTGGCTGACAGATCTAAAGATAGATCTCATCTGCCCATCTTTCAGATTACTTTGCAATCATCCACCTCAACCCATTCACATCTTGGAAAACATTGGAAGATATGACAATCTGATCTATGTAAGGGATTAACTTTTTTTTAGTTTACTTATTTATTGCTTCTGGCAATTGGCAATATTATTTTATACAAGATAATACTTTAATCCAGGTGGAAATAAATTATAAGCGAGTTACTTCTTTGTTCTCTTACCCTTATGGAATGATGATTGATATTCCTCGCCTTTGAAGTAGCTTAATTTTAATCTTGAAAAGAAATTGGTGGTTTCTTTTGGGTATTGAATCTCAAATAGGACTCCAGTCTCTGGAAATAGCTTGTAGTCATACACAGCCACATTACTGACTGGGAGTGGTTCTGTCAAAGAAAAGGAATAATAAGTAAAATGAATACGTGGCCCATTCAGCACATTGGTACATATGCAACTATAATCTACAATGAACCCTTGTTATGACGCCGTATTAAATGCAAGGATTATTATTTATTATAACTGCAAAATTACTACATGAGTGTATGATTTCTTTTTTAATGGAGATTCATCTTAAAGTAGCTACAATTCCTCCAGTGACTCCTGTACATTTCATCCGGGTTGAAACATCCATTATATCAAAGGATTTGTGAAAGCAGAGATTGCAATCATATATTTTCACACTTCATACATTCAAAACAATCATACACTCATGTAGAAATTTTGCAGTTATAATAAATAATAATCCTTGCATTTAATGTGGCGCCTTATCAAGTAAGTGAGACGACTGAAAGTGCTTCACAGGATATACTGTACAGTGAATTGACTGTATTTTGTGGGAGAAACACGGCAGCCAATTGCATACAGCAATTGACTAGTGCTCCTGATGTTGAGTGGTCTGTGCGATGTCGTGCTCTCTTCTTAAAACTCCCTTCCGCCACACAGGATGTCACGTAACATCTGCTTGGAGCTTTTCCTAATGCCGTGGCTGAAAGCCGTGGGCACAAAGCAGTGACCTACTACTTTGTGGCACTGGAGTGTATTGTCAGATAATCTATGTTGAAAATATTAATTCAAATTATTGTGCCGTTCTTAATCTTCGCCACATTCAGCATGTCAATAAGGTGCTATGAGTTAATGATGTTTCTACTTGTTCCTGGACACCTGAGCAGGCAGTTTTAAAACTCATTTACTTGGCAATAAGGCTTAGCATAAAACACAATGGTCAATATTTAATGTTGAGCCACGTTTAAAATAGCTGTGAAAAGAAAAATATTATATTATCATTGTAGTCGTCTGATGCCAACTCACCAGCATCTGGAGGATTAGACACAGTATTCAGACATGGAATTGAAATTTCCATGGTGGGATTTCTGATAAAAGATATTCAGATGGTGATAAAAATATTTAATCGAACCGGTTTCTTACCATACCTCGAGTCAAGAAATCTGAAGGAATTAACAGTTTCTTTTGACTGATGGTATTTGAATGAGAAAGCAACACTGCCATGATGACCACAGGAATAGCAATGGTTGTGTGGATGAGACTGAATATGAGGGAGTGTTTGTAAGATACTATCATGTGCCCGAGTTAGCATTGTCTGCGACTAGTTTTGGAATGCACCGGTCAAAATATATTTAAAATAAATTAGGAAGATACTGCTTTTTAGAGGCATGTTTCTTTTAATTGAAGAGCACACAGTTTTTTTTTAATGTCAGTACTTTTGTCTCACAAAAAATCTTGAACTGCATATTCCAGACACCACAAATAACTGTGCAGTTTGGCGTGATTGGATTAGTAACTAAGTGGAGGGCTAAGTCCTACAATTATAGTAGTATAGTATAGTATATTAAATAGAAGTGATGGAAAAAATTGTCAGAAAGCTCCTTGAGAGGTAAGGTCATTGCATATTTAAAATGATTTTTTTCAATTGTATTTTTGCCGAACATTTTGCCCCGCCCGGGGTGGAGCCTAGGTCCTCTCGCTTGCGAGGCGAGTGCTCTAACCACTACGCTACCGGACTTCATAGGCAATGGACCTGCCTATGAAGAAAACATCACCAATTTAAAGACTGGACTACAATAATTGGAATCCTCTTTAACTTCCCCTTCTGAAGATAATGCCCAGGCATTACACGATATCAGTTCGGGTGAACATAGTAACTGAGCATAAAACTGTTCCTGAAATAGCTAGTTATAGCTAGTCTTTCTGAGTCAATCATCTTGTCCTCCACTGTGAAGTGCTGTTTTTTGCGGAGTGTGATGACTGCACCACTGCAGTACTGAACACCGAAGAAACCATCTGTTACATCCATTTTAAGACAGGTTTCGATGTTCCACCTCGTTGGAGTATGTTTCTAGAAAAAAAAATCCCTCCCTCTGCTTCAATGTTGGAAGATTTAAAATGTTTCGTTGGTATTTTAACAGTCCAGAACGCATCTGTATTCTGGTGAACCTAAACACAAGTTTTTAAACGTTTCAATGTATTTTCTATACGTTGGGAGTGATTGTGTCCCACCCAATGTCTTTACCTCTGCAGTGTTTAGACCCCTCAAACCCCAACTCTGTAACGAGGTATTGGAAGACTTTGAAGCCAAATTATTCTCAAACTATTGGTGCTTTACAAGCCTACATAACAATAATAACAATGATAATAATCCATGTATTTGATATAGCGCCTTATTTGAGTGCTTCTCAGAATATATTATAAAGTGGAGTCACTATGTATTTTGTGGGTGAAACAAGGTAATGTATTGTGTACAATAATAACAACAAAATTGCATTTGTATAACGTCTTTCATGTCGGGAGGATGTCCCAAAGCACTGGACAGAGTTACGGACCTGAGCTGAGGGTCGGGGTGTGGGGAGAGCAGGGGTGGGAAACAGGGAGATCGAAAGCACGGTCGAAGAGGAGGGTCTTGAGGTGGGTCTTGAAGGTGGCGATGGAGGGGACGAGACAGACGGACTGCAGGATGGAGTTCCAGAGGGTGGGTGCAGAGTGGCGGAAGACCCGCCCGCCGATAGTGGAGTGAGCAAGGCGGGGGTTGTGAAGAAGGCCGGAGCCCACTGAGTAGAGGGAGCAAATAGGGTGGTAGGGGGTTAGGAGGTCGGAGAGGTAGGGGAGAGCAAGACCATGGAGGGCTTTGAAGGTGAGGACCAGGATCTTGAACTGTATCCTCTGTGTGATAGGAAGCCAGTGGAGTTGGGCACGGATGGGGGTGATAGGGTTGCGGAGCCTGGTGCGGGAGAGGACACGGGCTGCAGAGTTCTGGATTACCTGCAGCCTGTGGAGGGAGGAATTGGGGAGGCGAACAAGCAGTGAGTTTGCATAGTTGAGCCTCGATGTAATGAAGACATGTATGAGGGTTTTGGCGGCCTCCGGTGTGAGACAGTGTCAGAGTTGGGCGATGTTGTGGAGGTGGGGGAAGGCAGAGCGGGTCATGGTGCAGATGTGGGGTAGAAAGGATAGTTGAGGGTCAAACAAGACCCCAAGATTCTGGACTGGCTTAGCAAAGTGGAGTGTGCAACCATGGATGGTGATCCTGTCAGCACCTGAGTGAGGAGGCTCTGATGGGAGCCAATCAGGAGAGCCTCGGTCTTGTTGACGTTCAACTGAGGAAAGTTAGCTCTCATCCAGGACTTGCTTTGCAAGCGAGAGACCTGAGTTCAATTCCAGGCAGAGGGCGAAACCTTGGGCAAGTTTCCTTACTCCACACAGAGCCTAATAATAATCCCTCCAAAAACCAAAACAATAATAAATTGGTCATTTTCAATCTACGACTGTTTGTGGGACATTGCTGTGCGCAATTGGCTGCCGCGTTCGCCCACAAATATATAGTCAATTCACTTTACAGTGTGTTCTGTGAAGCGCTTTGGGACGTCCTCCCGACGTGAAAAGCGCTATATCAAATGCAAGGATTATTATTATTATTATTATTGATGTCTGACAGATATTCTGTCAGCACAGCAGTGGTCCTGGAGTCAAGGGTGGAGGCAGAGAGGTAGAGTTGGGTGTCATTCGCATACATGTGGAAGTTGACCCCATGTCTGCGGATGATGTCACCAAGAGAGAACATATAAATATTGAAGAGGAGGGGACCAAGGACAGAGCCCTGAGGAACGCCGCATGAGACGGTTCGGGGGCTGGAGGAGAAGCCGTGTGAGGAGATGAAGTGCAGACGGTGTGAGAGGTAAGATCTGAGCCAATCAAGGACAGCACCGTGGAGGTTGAGGTGAGAGGAGAGGCAGTGGATGAGGATAGTGGTCGACAGTGTCGAAAGCAGCAGAGAGGTCAAGGAGGATGAGGAGACAGAGGGAGCCCTGGTCGCAGATAGACAGAATGTCATTTGTCACATTGACCAGGGCGGTTCCATATGTAATGCTTTATTGGAGAAATTTATTGTACCCTTGCTTGAGGCATTGTCATCATCTCCAATCAGGCACATAATAATATTGTATCATGGCCTGACATTGGTGATGATATTCTCACTGTCAATGCATTGAACGTTAGTAACAGGGATGAAACAAAATTACTTCCAGTAACACAATCTGCAACTTCCCTCAAGATTCCTCACCCTTTACGTTTCTTCAGTGGAATATTTGACTGTCCAATGGTTAAGCTGTCACAATATATCAAAGGGTTACAAACACAGCTAATCTGCCCCCAGCCCCAAGCAATAGCTGAGGAATTTCTAATTTAAATTTAAACTTGTCGCTAACAAGTACCTGTCTGTTTTTGCTCAACATAGAACTGTGCCCCACGCATTAAGTTACCTTCCAGGATCAACAATAAAAGTAAAGAGACAAGGAAGAGACATACAGAACTGAGGACCTTGCACATTACACTTGCTCTAATTCTAATGGGGTTACTCCTGATTTAGTCCGAGTTTTCTTACAGATCTCTCGAACCTCATTTTAACATACTCCTCTTCTTGTTTTCCCTCAAACAAAGGATTCCACTTAACATTATTCAGTACTTGGGGCATGAATCTTAATTTGGACGTGATCCATGGATGCTCTTTACAGCTATTCTACCCTCTTTGATCCTGTCATGTATATATCCTTAGTATGCTTTAGGGACTTTTCAAGTTATCATTTCATAGAATCTAATGAGCCTAGAGACCCTCTCTCCCAGTACAAGTCGCTGTATTCCTACCATTGTATTATCAGAGATTCTTTATCATCTCAGGTCCAGTGCCTTCCCCTTGTGGATATTCAATTCCTCTCGTTTTCAACATTGATTTCATCTGCTCTCAAAGGGCCTGACAATCTTCTTTTCATTAAAAAAATTGTAGAACGGTATGTTTAGAGACTTGTTAATAAAACCCATGTGAATTTCCTACCTCTCAAAGTCCCAATGATAAGAAAAGCAATTTTGTTAGTACTGTATTAATGAAAAAGTAGCGAGCAATGGGGAAGTAGCTCTACTGCATTCTGTCATTGAACACATGAAAGCGCTCTGGGACGCTATCCTGCATGAGGGACACTGTAAATGCAGGTGGTTGTTGTTGTTGAAATCTCCACTCCAGTACTGGTAAATATGTAGTAATTCCTGGCAAGTTCTGTTGTTTTTTTCCCTCCAGGATAAGGAACTTTGAATCAGATGTAATCAAGTAATCAAATGCCCTTTAATGTGAATGGAGCCAATCTATAACAATAATAATAATCCTTGCATTTGATATAGTGGTTTACCGCGGCGTCGAGACGTCTCAAAGAGCTTCACAGATTATACTGTAAAGTGAATTGACCGTATATTTGTGGGCGAAACGCGGCAGCCAATTGCACACAGCAGCGTTCCACAAACAGTCGTGGATTGAAGTGACCAATTTTTTAAAAAATTTTTGCCAATATATCGCCTCTGCCTCGAAGTAGCCACAGAAAACTCTCCATCTAGACTTTTTTTTGCACTTGCCACAACTTTTCCTGTGTCTTTCAATTTAATGACATTAATAAGACGTTTACTCCTCCGAAGTTTACTATCTTACTACTCCGCAGTTTCAAATGTGTCGTCCCACAAGTTTCTGCCACTTGCATCATCTCTGTGTTCAAATCCAAACACACTACACTGCCTCCTACTCAAAGACATTCTTTCCCAAACATCAAGGCTGTGGAACTCTTCATCTCCCACAAACTTCCCTTCAAAATGCAATCACAAGTTTCTAAAGCCAAGACTTGGTATCACTTAACCATTCATTGACTTTCTATTATACTATTTTCCCAATCTTGATGGGGTATTGTCCTATTGGTCTCAGTGCTTCACTAAATCTAAAATTTAAATGCTCAATAAAAAATTAAATATATATAATATTTTTTTGCATGTTTTGACTAAATTTAACGAACTAAACTGGACAACTTCAATGGCCTATTGAAAGATTCCTGTGACAACTTGCTTCTCATTACAAAAAAGCTAATAGAAATCGTTCGAAACCAACAGAGATTATTACAGATAAGTAAATATGATAAGTAAATTCACGTCACTATTAAAGAATCCTGCTACCAATCGCTGGAATTTAGCCCCACACATTCCTCAATTTGAAGAGCACAACATTTTCAAAATATATATATATATATAGTTTATTTTCTTACTCGTTAGTACAGCAACTAAATGCACAGGCTTAACGGTTGAGATAGTGTTTCCAACCAGGAGGGTGACAAGATAGTAGATTCCATGGTAAGCAGCAGGGAAGACCACAGGAGGAGGGAGTGTGCTGTTGAACTCTTTAAATTGGATCTTGTAATTAGTCAGATTAACAGACTGGGTTATCTTCACGTAGTAGAGAGAGGATCCATTGGTCACGTCAGAGGGCTGTAAAGATACTATAATGTTGTTGTCACCATCAACTGTGGCAGTGATTGCAGTGGCACTCTGCAAAGAGAAAGAATCAGTGTTAAAAACACAATAAAAATATAATATTTAAAAAAATACACCCCTGGTACACAGGCTTCAACAATGTGGACACATGTAAATAGCAAATGCCTTTAAGTGCAAATATTTTGAGACCTCTACATTGCTGGGCTGTACATTTTGAATTTGCGCCCCAAAGGGGGAAATAGGTTTCCAGAGGCAGAAACAAATTAGTGTAGGATAGCAAAGTAATAGTCCTTTTAACAAAAGACAAAATACTGCAGCCGCTGGCTATTCTGAAATAAAAACCAAAGTCGCCGGGCACACTCAGCAGGTCAGGCAGCATCTATGGAGAGAGGAAAGTGAGTTAACGTTTCAGGTCGATGTCGAAAGGTCTCACTCCATAAATGCTGCCTGACCTACTGAGTGTTCCCAGGAACTTCTATTTTTATTTCAATGGTCCTTTTATATGTGCGTTTCGTCCACAAAATACAGTCAATTCACTTTGCAGTATATACTGTGAAGTACTTTGAGATGTCACAACGACACGATAAGGCACTATATCAAATGCAAGGATTATTATTATTATTACATGTAAATTCATTGAAGTGCAAAAAGTCAGGTGTCTGGGAAGTCTGGGAAGATCTGTAAATACCTTAACTAGTTATAGTAACAAGCAACAGGTTTCATAATTCCAAACTCATGTTACAAGAATATTAACTGGTAGTAAATATATTGTTTATTTTACCTGAATGCCAGTGTTTCCTATTAATGTGCATTTTTTTCTCTGGATCAGTATTATTCCTCCAATTTTTGCCGTCCTCTCATGTGGGTGTATGCCTACTTTGTGTACAGCAGTACCCAGGGCTTTGTGTGAATGATTCCTCTATTTGTTAACTGTCCCAACAACACATTCACTGAGAGAGGGTGTGAAACGTCTCACTTGAGCGAAGAGTTTTTTTTTGCAAGAGTCCCTTGTGCAGTTTACTGTTCTATTTCTGTCTCCTCTCTGTGCAGTGCTCTACTAAGACCTGCATAATACATGTCTCAGTCCACATTGGTTTGTGGGGACATCAAAACGTACTGTCAGCTGTATGAACAGGATTTGTGGTTTGAGGAGGGAAAGGTGTGATAATTGCAAAATGCAGTGAACAGCCCACAATTTTGTCTTAAGGTTCAGCAATCAGCGGTGTGCCTCAGCAAACTCTCTGTCATCTAAAGCTATCTGGAATTCCCAGAACATTGCAACTGCAATTCTCTGTGCAACTGCTGGATTAAATAATATATTTCTAAGACTGCGAGCTGCATTGCTATTTGCAAAACATACTCACAGGAAATAATCTGCAAAACTATCGAACAGATTTACTCCGTATTGAATCTTTTGGAAATATCCTTTGAAAGATGCAGTCACCACAAATGGCAGCACACGTCATTTTTACAGTAACATTCAACAATGAGAATTAATACATTATTAGATGTTCTTACATCTAAAAATGACTTATTTATGAACATTCTCACTATTGTTTAAGATGTGCTCCCAGTTATTATACTTTTAATTTCTTTTGTGAACCTCTCCTGCAATATCTCGAATACTAATCCTTACATTTGATACAGCGTCTTATCACATTGTTGAGACGTCACAAAGAGCTTCACAGAATATACTGTAAAGGAAACTGACTGTGTATTTTGGTTCTCCCAAGACCTATTTTCTTTCTATTTCGATTTACAGAGGCATGCTTCATGCTTTGTTTCTTTGTTCAAGTGATCATTCATGCGTGAGCCTTGACACTGATTGTAGGCACGCAATTCAACTTGGGAGGATGGGGGGGAGGGAGAGGGGGAGGGAGGAGTGGAGGGGGAAGGGAGGAAAATGAATCACACCCGAGTTATGGTCTGTGGCTCTTTGCACATTTCCACACACGTCCGGTTGAATGTCTTAGGATGCCAGTTATCGTGGCATCATAATGAGAAGGAATTACATTTTTTTTAAAATAGAGAATAACACAAATTCCAAGCCGTAAATTATGCAGATTGTATATAAAAGCATTTGACTGTGTGGCAGTAATATCTCTGCCTTTAAACTCTGCCTTCAAGCTACTGAGAGAGGTTCAGCAATAGAAACATACAACTCTTCGAAAGCTATGCATGTTCATGGAAGTTGCATGATAATGGAAGTGCTGAACCATTGAACTACCGAAAAGAATGTCTTAAAATACCGTACAGGTAATTATTAACAATAAAGGCAAATGCGGTTGCCATTTGTGTCCTCAAATTTACACAGATAATAATAATCGCAAATATCCATGATCGATTAATTTGGAAGTTTGTTGGTCAGAATGCAGGAAGAAATACCCCTTTTCTTTTCAAATAGCATTTTAAAATCTTTATCATTCGTCTGACTAGACATATGGGACCTTGGATTAATGTGTCATTCAGAAGATAGCATCTTTAATAAAGCACCTCTCTCACCATCATGTCAACTAAGATTATGAGATTAAGTCACTATGTGGGGCTTGAATCCACAACCTTCTGACCCAAAGGCAAAAGTGCTTTGACAAAGCCATCCTGACACATTACTTATAGAAAGCGATTACTCAATTTAAAGATTTGAACCTGTCATGCCTCTGGACACCGCCCAAATATATGACTTAACAGGATCTGTGCAGCAAATAGCAGTTCACTGCGCCTGTCTGCCAACCGTACAGTTTACCAGATAAGAAGCTTGATGTTTCATGCCCTAAGCAAATAACGTCTAAAGCTAAATGCAGTACCAACAGACTGCACACCTCTTGTTTATAATATTATTCCACGCTCCTTTTTACACTGGAACAACAATATGGTTGGGATCAAGGGGACATATTGAGAAACACGGATAGTTTCTGGTTACACAAATAATGTGGAGTTAATGGAGCTGCTGGCAAACATCAACGGCAGCTGGCAAATCACAGCTGACACTGGTATAATCCATTCTGGTGTCAGGAATTTATTGGCTCTCAATGGAAGCTGTCCTAATCTGCTGATATTGCTCTTTTGCACATTCAAAGCAGGAAGATCAACAATAGCTCACCTTTTATTGTGCACGAGGACAGAGAGGTTCAAACGTTGCCCAGTAGTAAATCAACTAATTTGACTAAAAATTTTCAACTAATCTGTGACGTGAGATCTCTCACCAAATGAACGTATATGTAGACTTACAATGGAAGAATATAAACTAGATTTACAAATTTTAAAGACCCCCCATCAGTTGAAATTACCATTGAACAGTCAAGTAACAATAATAATAGTAATAATTCCTGCATTTGATATAGTGCTTAATCAATAGTATTGGGGATTCATGAGTCAGTAGATGGAAACATTTTATGGATGCTCTGATGAGCATTTATTGATCATGATTATGACAACATACGCAAAAGGGTTAAAGTTATGTGACTTACTACTGAATCCGGACTATACTGTGATAAATGCTAAACTGAAAGACAATAAGGCTTTATTGTTTAAACCCATTGTACTCATTCTAATAATAATAATCCTTCCATTTGATTTAGCATCTTTTACATCAGGAGAACATATCAAAGCATTTCATGGGATATAATGTATAGTAGAATGTGTATTTTGTAGGCAAAATTGGCAGGCAAATTGTGCACAGCAATGTCCCACAAACCGAGGTGAAATGAATGTCCTGCAGCTCCAATTCCTATACAATCCATGGTAATAGAGGTAATAATGCAGAAAATGAAATTAATATCCCTCTGGGGACCTATTTATTTTACAATCTTTGCCACATGTGTGAGGTATTTTGTATTGGGTTATTTGCAAAAGGTTCATGAGAGGTTCCTAATCTATATTTGATCTGTCTCGTTTGATGTCAGGCTGGCTCAGCTGGTAGCACTCTCGCCTGAGTCAGAAGGTTGTGGGTTCAAGCCCCACATCAAGATTATGAACTCACAGTCTAGGCTGACACTGCAATACAAGGCTCGGAGAGCGTTGCATTGGCAGAGGTGCTGCCCTTTGAAGGAGATGTTGAATGAAGTTCCCAACAATTTTCAAGATTTACATTGTGTTCAGATGGATGTTAAAGATCCATTGACACTATTTCAAGAGAGAATGATGTTTACCACGAGAATCGTAGGAAATCTAGGCTTTACCCACTATCGCCCACCTCATGCTCACTTACTGTCTGAAGTTAATTATACAGTGCAGTATAGATTATTGATTAAATGATATTTTATACGATTTATGCAGTTTGCCAGCAGCTCGGACTTCGCAGAAATCAGATTAAATGTTAAGGTCCCGACTGATATGACTTATGTGAGTTTAACTGTACATGTATTTGTACAAGCTACAGCAATTAGTTTAATAATGTTCTCTTTGTTTAAGGATTTGTAGTTACGTGTGACCAGTCGATACTAGTGGTGGCCTAAGAATGTTTCAGACCTGAGCAGCCGAGAAAGGCAAACTCGTGGGTGAATGTGGTCATTTGAGACATGCCTAGGTTCCGTGTTGTCTTCCTGCAATTAAAGATGCAGCACTCCTTTTACAATTACAGCCCATCTACTTCAGGTCAAGCTCGTAATTTGCAAACAAAAGCAGAGATTTCATCCACAGGTCAGTGAACACTCAACAGCCAGGCTGACAGAGAGAGAGGGAGGGAGACAGGCTGACAGGAAGCATAATTTATAGACAATTAATGAATTAATGTCGCTGGTGTATACCATTCAGAAAGAATAGGCTCAGTTTATCAATATTAATACAGACCTTTTAAAATCTAGGACAGTGTATCACAGTGACAAAATATATCCTTAGAATTAACTTTGACAGGACTGTGAGAGCAGGAAGGCAATAAAATATACAGTGGGCTGACAGGACCAGGTTATAAGCAGTGTCAGCAATACTATATTCTAGACACCTTGGGCAATGCTTGAACTTCTATAATGAAGCCTTAATCCTGAGCTCAGAGCAAGGCACATGCTTCATTAGCTACCAGCTCACAATCTTTGGCAGAACCACAGGCTTTAACTGCT